TTTAACATAACAGCCATTAATGCACAAATTAGATGTATTACATAAATGCCTGATATGCAGTTTATGCAGCTTGGCTCGAAGAAATGGAGACGAACTCACGGAGTTCACGTAAAATAATCCATCAAGTCCTGTCCCAATAAAGACGTAACTTTGCGTGAATTAAATAATATGCAGCCATGAATGGGCGCATATTGGAAATAAAAGTGCTGAATTTAATTCGCCTATAAGCTCATCATCTCATGAAGTAGGAGTCACGTAGGTTAAGATAATCCGTCAAGTCCTCTCCCAATAAAGACGTAACTTTGCATTAATTAAATAATACAGCCATGAATGAGTGCATGTTGGAAATAAAAATGCTAAATTGAATTCTCTGTCTGTTGTCTATCCTCATCATTAGTCTCGTGAAGCCGCTTTCATATCGCTGTTCACTCACCGGGTTGATGCTCAAGAAATGATCCAGCACGGCCACCACATGTAACCTTTAACAAGATTTACTTGTTTAAAACACCCTAAATTGTATTAACATTTACTATATAAACCTTATTTCGCTAATAAACATCTAAATAGATACAACTCTATGGAAATTAATTATTATCTCCACGAGCGATCACAGTTTGAGTATAGTTCTGTGTAAATGCATAGATAAACTGCACTGTCAGCAAGCATTTCATAATCTAGAACGACAAAAACATTATTAGTAATTCTGATATAACACGTCTGATATATATTGAATACTGATATTTGAAATTATTTAAAAAATGAAAAGATACTTTAAAATGTGAAATTAAAAGCGCCAGTAGGTGGCAGCAAGTCACTGTTAATAAGAGAGTCATTGCGACTGAACCGAATCATTTAAACGGTTGATTCGTTCAGGAACAAAACACCGCCGTGTTGCGGCTTTGTTTGGAATTATTTTTGTTGGCAAAATAGAACAAAAACAGGAAATATGGTGTCTAAAACTCGAGTCTCTTTTTTAACTGTTGTAAAATATCAATATCACATTTGTAATCATTAGGGATGCTCCGATCAGGATTTTTGCAGCCGATACTAAGTACCGATTTCTTGTCGTGGTGATCGGCCGATACCGATTCTGATGCTTCAAGCTTTATATAGATGTTTCATCGGGCGCACGCGCCTGGCCCGAAGTTAACTTCCGGTCTGTGTTTGTTTATCAGTCTGGCTATGGCGCCGGCTACAAACGCAGTTAAAGTTAAGGTGATGAGTAGACTGAAGGCTCAGGTGGTTGTGCTGTGGGATGTGTTTCCCATACATTTATTTATTATATCAAATAATATCAAACCTGACCGATTTTCCAAAAGGCTTCGTTGAATAAACATGCGCACATACTGCACATTTAAAAATCAAAACGAGGCGCGGGTGTTTTTATATCACTGAAGGAAAAAATTTGATGTCATTTTCATTTCATCTTGCATGTTATATGCCTGATAAAGCAGCGTTTGTGAGCTCAGCGCTGCTTTGTGTACAGCCGTTACTGGGGAAACTTGTTTCTCCCGCTTTAAAGCACCTCCTGCTGGCAGAGAATGCAGATTTACGCAGCAAACATATTTAGCTTTTCCTATATCCACGGGTCGGGTAATAAAAAAATGCATTCTGATTATTTGCGGGTGGGTAAAATAAATTATGCAAATATTAAAAACATTTTTAAATAATTTTTTTTCCATGAGGCAGACGATTTTGTGTGTGTTCGTTCACCTGATCGAGAAGTTGCAGTGACAGAAACGGTGACATTCCAAAGTTTGAAAAGAGTAAAGCCTGTGTTAATGCTATTGAGTAGGCTTATGTGGCCAAAGAAGATATTTTGTTTTATAAATAATGTTCATTTAAAAGAAGCCCACGAGCAGCGTATTATGTTACCGTTATCCCTTACGGCTCTGACAAGGTTTTATTCCGTCCTCCACACTGTGACAACTTACAAAAGACTATTTTTAACCAAGTAGCGCGGAGAGCCGCTTCAGAAACAGCACTGACTAGAGCGGCCGCGGAGCCGAAACGCGCCGCAGACGCGTGCAGTGAGGCGCAGATCAGCTCTAACGTCACTGAATCTGCTGTTAAAAATGAACCATCCATTCATCATGCAAAACATACACAACAAATAGCACATTTTTCATTGTTTCTCGAAACGTCATAGCATTTCCACACCGGCGATGACATGACTGTGGCGCCAAATCATTTATGTCCCACGCATCATGTACGTCGTCACGCGTTGACGTCATCAAATTGTGATCGGTTCGTGAGATCGGCCAAGTGCAGAGAGTACCGATCGGGTCATAAAATGTGATTATTGGCCGATACCGATCACCGGCCGATCGATCAGAGCATCCCTGGTAATCATGGTAATTTTGGGGGGAAAACAAACGGCACTCTTCGTGTGAAATTGATTAACTATATGAAGTGGTATAAATATATACATTTTCTGCCCACCCCCTTGAATTTGTCATCATTCTAAATGCATTTTATTAGACTGAATCATGCAGTGAAAGAACACACTCTAAATGCGTGCGCGCACTAGTCTAGACTTCATGCGTGCACTCTGTTGGGATGTTTTGAATGGTTTTCGCAAAATACTCGGTCAAATCACACATCGTTAAAACAACAATTACGATATTATCGCAGACGATATATAATCGCACACTTGTCAGTCAGTCAGTATTACCAAAAACATTTCCAGCATGAAAATCCCCTTCAGAAGCAGGGCATCTCACCTCTTCCTGTGCCTGACTGCTCTCGGCTGGGCCGCTTGGTGCTTCTGTGGGCTCAACCTGCGATTTATCCGCATTTTGGCTGGTTTCAGCTGTACACTCCTTTTGCACCTCCTCCTCCACCTGTGTTGGGGAGCTTGGTGCGGGACTCTGGGAGGATTTATACTCTTCGATGCTGCCGTTTTGGCTGGTTTCAGCTGTACACTCCTTTTCGGCGTTCTTCTGCACCTCCTCCTCCTCCTGTGTTGTGGAGCTCGGTGCTGGACTCTGGGAGGATTTATCCTCTTCGATGCTGCTGTTTTGACTGGTTTCAGCTGTACACTCCTTCTGCACCTCCTCCTCCACCTGTGTTGTGGAGCTCAGTGCGGGACTCTGGGAGGATTTATACTCTTCGATGCTGCCGTTTTGGCTGGTTTCAGCTGTACACTCCTTTTCGGCGTTCTTCTGCACCTCCTCCTCCTCCTGTGTTGTGGAGCTCGGTGCTGGACTCTGGGAGGATTTATCCTCTTCGATGCTGCTGTTTTGACTGGTTTCAGCTGTACACTCCTTCTGCACCTCCTCCTCCACCTGTGTTGGGGAGCTCGGTGCGGGACTCTGGGAGGAGGAGCTGCTGGGCTGCTCCTGAGGGTCTGTCCTGTCACTCCCCCTGGTGGCAAAAGGTGGCATAGTCTGTTTGGGAACATCTGAACTGCGTGAAGCCCCAGAGGTGGACGGAGAAGCCTCGCTGTCGCTGTCATCACTTCCTTCACCAGAGCTGCCTATCTCCTCCAGTCCTCCAAGGCCAGTCCTAGTGGATTAAACAAATGCGTGTTACAATTTAGTGATTCTAGTCAGCAAGATAAGCATTTTCTTTGACATAGGTTAAATCAGCTCACCAGAAACATTTCTTCTTTGCTTTCAGTTCACTGTCAGCTGGTGTCGGACGCTTGCGACTCGGCCCCTCGTCCACCTTGACAAGACCACTAGAGGAAGCCTGCATGCCTGCAAGAATAGACAACTTTTACCTTTACCGTCAAGAATAATTAGGTTTGGGCAACATACTTGAATATTTACAATATGCAATATTAATGGGGGTGTCACATCAATTAATCACATCCTAAATAAAAGCCTGTGTTTACATAATATATTGTGTATTAGGGCTGCACGATATTGGAAAAAACTCACATTGTGATATTTTGTTTTTCTGCAATATATATTGCGATATGAAAAGAAAAGAAAAAAATATATATTATATATTCAAACAAAAGTACTCACACACATTATTTAAGCACAGACTTGTATTTTATGCAGTTAAATCACGATTAATTTATTTGACAGCCCTATTTCAATCCTAATAATAATTATTACATTATAATTATAAATTTTTAATTAATTATAATTGTATATTATATTGTTATAATAATGATAATACTAATTAATAAATATACTATATTGAATATATAATTTGCATATTGTTAAAGTTAATTTTATATAACACCTTTCTAGGAAATAGAGATCACTTTCAGAATTGTAATATTTATTATTGTCAATTATTTAGTATTATTGTTTTTGGCTATAAAATCAAGCAATGTGAAATTACTTGAACTTGTATGTATGAGAATATTAAATATAATATAATTCCTAATATAGGAAATACTTTAGTTTAATGGAGTCTCTAATTTTAATCTCAGTACAAAAAAATTCTGATTCAAAATGTGATTCAAGTGAATTTAAGTGGTGTATTTAAAATCAGGGTTGGGCAAACTTGGCCCTTCCAGGTCCCTTTCCTTCAGATGCCTTGTCCAAATACCCACACTTGCGGTCTTTGCACATGACCACTTCTATGACGTATTTCCTGTATTTGGCCCAAGTGTTCAAGTGAGCACGAAGACCACAAGTGTGTTTTCATTACCTGATGGGACACACTTGTAGTGTTATAAAACTGCAAGTGTTTACATAACTTTAAATACTTTGCATTTTAAAATCAACTTCTAAATGTCTGTTCAGTAGTCCCTATAACATGACGATTTTAGTTTGTGGTGCTTCTAATTAAGTGATAAAAAGCAGTTGCAAATGTTGTACAAAATAAATATCACCACTACTCATCTTTGCACCAATAAAACGTAAAAACACAGTTTTTCTACCAAATTATACGTAATATCTAATTATCATATTAATATTTAACTTGCTTTGGAAAGGTTTCCGTGACCTCTCGCGAGATCTCGGCAAAAAGTCTCACGATTTATTTCCAGAACATGATGCATGATGGGATACACTAAGCCTCGAATAGCGCTCCGGAGCGGTATTCGAGATAGTGTGGGTTTAGTGTGCGTTAAGGGCACTGCACTTTGGCGTTTTTAAGACCTGGGACAGTCGCGCACACGTGCTCTCAAGTGGCCAAGACCGCAAGTGTGGGTATTTAGACAAGGGGAGAGTTTAGCTCCAACCCTAATCAAACACACCTGAACCAGCTAATCATTGTCTTCAAGACTACTAGAAAGCTACAGGCAGGTGAGTTTTATCAGGGTTGGACCAAATCTCTGCCAAGTTTGCCCACCACTGCTTTAAATGATTCTTTTTTAACAAATCTTCAAAGGACCTTGGGATAATGGTGCAAGTGGTTTAACTTTCAGTCACTAGGATGAAACTAAATATGTAAACAATGCTGTCTATGGCTATTTATCATTCTCCTCTGTGTAAATGTACTCTAGCACTACTATAAGACAGTAGATGCGTGTAATTTTATACATAAAATGAGTTCAAGTTACCTTTCAGCACAGAGTCCTCCAGTCTCTCTGAGAGGTCGTGGCACTGCTTTTCATAATCAGTGTCTGTGAAATAATGTTTAGGCTCGGCCAATTTCCTCTGAATCCGCTCCAGACGACGCTGCTCCTTCTCGGCCTCTCGATCCGCCTGCTTTTTCAGCCACTCAGCCATTCTACAAACACGCATGCAATTTCAATGGTTCACTCAATAAGACAACCTAATGCTGGAGCAGAAAGCACCAAACCCATAAAACAATTCAGTCAATAATCAAAAAAAAGCATGCTAAATGGATACGGTAATCATCAGCAGTACTCTTTCTCATGATTGACATCTCTCAGTCTCCTTCCACTCAGATCTCTGCAGGCCTCACGGTTAGTGGTCTTTTCGATTTGTGCACCGAGGGCCCTCAACATAGAGCCAAATCCTACAAAACAAATGAGTTTAAAACATCTTAAAAAGGAACAAAACCTTTATTAATAACTTTCAAATGCTCAAAACTTTAGATACACATTCTATAAATTAAAAACAAACCCTACGGGAACTCTTATCAGAATTTTATATATACTTTTAATAAGTTCCAAATTGTAAATGTGTCCAAAACGGGGACATGTTTATACCAAAGCATACTCTAACAATTATATTATCGTATAACAATTAGCCAAATATCAACAACCCATCATATGCTAACATTTGCAGGCTTCAACAAAGATCAACAGTGATGTTCTGGACGAGTCTGTTTACCTCCTTTGCCTCCACATAACCGAGGCTCCACACGGTACACAACTCCAGACTGAAGCGAGGCATTCCTGCGAGACACGCGGCCATTACTCTTCACATAGAAATCCGCGACGGAGGCACCCTGAGAGCAAATGAGACATCGTTTAGGTCGTCTTAAACACAATGTTCATCATCAAAATCAAACTGAACCACCAGCAGTGAGAGTTACAGCACAACCCTCAGTTCAGAGCTCACATTCACTCACCTCTTTAACGGCAAAATGATGGATGAGATCGCTGACAGTCGAGCCCGGGGCGACAGTAAGGTTCGTAAACCTCACATTTGGTGAAACTACAAAGAGCTCCATGTTTTCTTCTCCTCTGTTCTCGAAGACGTGCCCGGAAGTATTAATTGCGTTGACGCAACTACGGAAACCGAGAGAACTTCTTCATCTTCTTGTACGATTTTATGGCGGTTGACAAGCCAGCTTATTGTGTATTACCTCCACCAACTGGACTGGAGTGTAACGGGAACGAGGGAGAAAGGAACAAAAAAATTCCATAAATAAATAAACCAACCGGTAGTATTATTATGACATTTAAATTATACTTTCTAATCCTGTTAGTTTCAGATAACTAAGAATTTCTCTCGTAATACTTGTCTGTCCTGAGGCACAACTTAAAAGATTTGATATAGTGAAATGAATTACTCCTATGTTTCTCAGTTTCTTAAATAACTCCTCTCTTTCTTTGGTATATACTGCACAATGTAGAAGTGCATGCTCAATAGTCTCTGCTTCACTGCATGTAGTACACAATCCTGACTGATGTTTCCCTGTTGAGAATAATGCATGATTTAAACCAGAATGTCCTATTCGAAGTCGAGCAATTATTATGTCTTCTTTTCTATTGTTGAAGCATACTCTCCCTTTGCCGAGAGAACTTGTCAAATCCCACATTCTTTGATCCTAGTCAAATAAACCATCAAATAGAGAGATTGAGCTATATATCCAAGCTATTTTATCTTAATAGATTTCCAAAAAATTAAAAACGGTAAACCCACGCAGCAATTCGAATTCATTTTGTTAAAGGAAGCAATACATTTGGTCAACATGTAATATTTTATTATTAGCAGTATATTTTTACCTATGAACCCTTACGAAAACTAACCATGGTTTTACTACAAATAAAACCAAAAGACCATGGTTACTATAGTTTAGTTATACCATGGTAATCACAAATTAACCATTTGTAAACCAGTTTGTTCAAATTTTAGACCGATTTCGAAACTTCCCTTTTTTTCAAAAGTGTTGGAGAAAGTAGTTTTCACTCAATTACAGCCCTTTTTAGAGAAAAATTCAGTACTCGAGGTTTTCCAATTAGGTTTTAGAACAAAACACAGTACAGAATCGGCACTCTTAAAAGTCTACAATGATATTTTATTAACCGTTGAATCTGGAGCCTCTGCAATCCTAGTTTTATTAGATCTTAGTGCGGCTTTTGATACTGTTGACCACACTATCTTGGTTTCTCGTCTTGAGCAATATGCAGGAATTCAAGGAGTGGCTCTTCATTGGTTTAAGTCGTATTTATCAAATAGAAGCTTTGCAGTTAATTTTGGTGAATTTTTATCTACCTCAGTTCCTCTCACCTGTGGCGTCCCTCAAGGGTCCATTCTGGCCCCATTACTTTTTTCTCTATATATGCTCCCTTTGGGGTCTATCTTTAAGAAGCATAATGTCTCATTTCACTGTTATGCAGACGATACGCAGATATATCTACCATTACAACAGAATAACAAGAATGTTCTAACTCCTATTTTAGAATGTTTAAATGATATAAAAGGCTGGATGAATTTAAATTTTTTAAAACTAAATGAAAACAAAACAGAGATCATTATTTTTGGGCTGAGTGAGACTGTTAACCTTGGCCCTTTGGCTTTGTATAATAAAATGGTGGTGTTTTATTTGATAAAGACTTCAAATTTGATATGCAAATTAATGGTGTCTTTAAATCCAGCTTTTTCCACTTGAGACTTTTGGCTAAGGTAAAGATATTTCTCTCTTTTAAAGACCTTGAGAAAGTCATCCATGCCTTTATTTTTTCAAGGCTTGAATATTGTAATTCCCTTTATATAGGAGTTAGCCAGAAAGCGTTGTCACGTTTGCAGGCAGTCCAAAATGCAGCAGCTAGGATGCTGACAGGCACTCAAAGACGAGAGCACATCACACCAGTTCTATTTTCCCTTCATTGGCTGCCAGTACGTTTCCAAATAGAATTCAAGCTTTTATTGTTTGTTTTTAAATCATTAAATGGTTTGGCACCTCCTTACCTCGCAGACCTTCTTAAACGACACACGCCTTCTAGATCCTTTAGGTCCTCTGATCAGCTGCTTCTAACTGTTCCTAGGTCTAGATTAAAACTTAGGGGTGATCGTGCCTTTTCGGTAGCTGCACCTAGACTGTGGAATCTTTTACCCCTGTATGTTAGAGCAGCTCCAACTATATTTACATTTAAAACTCAGTTAAAAATGCATTTATTATCGCAGGCTTTTAATTCTACTGGGTATTGAGGGGTGTCATTGAATTTTTATTGTTTAAATTTATCTTTGTATGTTCTTGGTTTTATTTGTTTTACTTTGTTTGTACAGCACCTTGGGCAACAATAGTTGTATAAATGTGTGCTTTAAAAGTGAAATAAACAGCAACAGAAACATGGTTTTGCTACACTAACTATAGTTTAACCATGGTATTTGTAGTAAATGTGGTTATACAAATGGTAATCAATACGCCAAAAACCATGGTTACTACACATACTACTGTAGTGTATCATAAAGCCATGGTTACTACACATACTACTGTAGTGTATCATAAAGCCATGGTTACTACACATACTACTGTAGTGTATCATAAAGCCATGGTTACTACACATACTACTGTAGTGTATCATAAAGCCATGGTTACTACACATACTACTGTAGTGTATCATAAAGCCATGGTTACTACACATACTACTGTAGTGTATCATAAAGCCATGGTTACTACACATACTACTGTAGTGTATCATAAAGCCATGGTTACTACACATACTACTGTAGTGTATCATAAAGCCATGGTTACTACACATACTACTGTAGTGTATCATAAAGCCATGGTTACTACACATACTACTGTAGTGTATCATAAAGCCATGGTTACTACACATACTACTGTAGTGTATCATAAAGCCATGGTTACTACACATACTACTGTAGTGTATCATAAAGCCATGGTTACTACACATACTACTGTAGTGTATCATAAAGCCATGGTTACTACACATACTACTGTAGTGTATCATAAAGCCATGGTTACTACACATACTACTGTAGTGTATCATAAAGCCATGGTTACTACACATACTACTGTAGTGTATCATAAAGCCATGGTTACTACACATACTACTGTAGTGTATCATAAAGCCATGGTTACTACACATACTACTGTAGTGTATCATAAAGCCATGGTTACTACACATACTACTGTAGTGTATCATAAAGCCATGGTTACTACACATACTACTGTAGTGTATCATAAAGCCATGGTTACTACACATACTACTGTAGTGTATCATAAAGCCATGGTTACTACACATACTACTGTAGTGTATCATAAAGCCATGGTTACTACACATACTACTGTAGTGTATCATAAAGCCATGGTTACTACACATACTACTGTAGTGTATCATAAAGCCATGGTTACTACACATACTACTGTAGTGTATCATAAAGCCATGGTTACTACACATACTACTGTAGTGTATCATAAAGCCATGGTTACTACACATACTACTGTAGTGTATCATAAAGCCATGGTTACTACACATACTACTGTAGTGTATCATAAAGCCATGGTTACTACACATACTACTGTAGTGTATCATAAAGCCATGGTTACTACACATACTACTGTAGTGTATCATAAAGCCATGGTTACTACACATACTACTGTAGTGTATCATAAAGCCATGGTTACTACACATACTACTGTAGTGTATCATAAAGCCATGGTTACTACACATACTACTGTAGTGTATCATAAAGCCATGGTTACTACACATACTACTGTAGTGTATCATAAAGCCATGGTTACTACACATACTACTGTAGTGTATCATAAAGCCATGGTTACTACACATACTACTGTAGTGTATCATAAAGCCATGGTTACTACACATACTACTGTAGTGTATCATAAAGCCATGGTTACTACACATACTACTGTAGTGTATCATAAAGCCATGGTTACTACACATACTACTGTAGTGTATCATAAAGCCATGGTTACTACACATACTACTGTAGTGTATCATAAAGCCATGGTTACTACACATACTACTGTAGTGTATCATAAAGCCATGGTTACTACACATACTACTGTAGTGTATCATAAAGCCATGGTTACTACACATACTACTGTAGTGTATCATAAAGCCATGGTTACTACACATACTACTGTACTGTATAATAAAACCATGGGGCACGTTTCCAATGAAAATCCCACATTCTCCTGCAGCCTTTTATTTTGAAATCTTCCCAGCATGCTCTGCTGTGCGTATGACGTTTCAACATGGCGACGCTCTGCAAGGTGATGTACAACGTGAGCTCCAGATCATCTTTACTACCAAAACACTGTGTTTTTACTACGCTCAGATCATTGTGCAGCTCCGATGCGAGCGGAGGAGATGGTAAATCAGCCGAGAGGGTGAAGAGCGGGTTCGCAGCCGCGTATGAGCAGCATTCGGACCTGCGGCAGAGCGGCGACCTGAGCTCCGGGGACGAGACCTCCTTCGCGTCGCTCCTGCGCCGCTCCGCGCTCGCGCAGATGGGTCCGGCCAAAGACAAGATCGTCGTCGGGAAAATCTTTCATATCGTCAATGACGATCTGTATGTCGATTTCGGCGGGAAGTTCCACTGCGTGTGCAAGAGGCCCTCGGCGGACGGACAGAAGTACCAGCGGGGCAGCAGGGTGAGGCTGAGGCTGGAGGATGTGGAGATGACCTCGCGGTTCCTGGGAGCCTCCGTCGATACGACGCTGCTGGAGGCGGACGCCACTCTGCTGAGACTCATAGAGAGCAAGACGAAGGAGTAGTTGCCATTGAGAACTCGGACTGAACTATGTGTGAACGAATGGACTCTGTATTGTGTATGAGATATAAAATTTAATATTGCACTTCCACGGATTTTGATTCTTGTTTTTTTTAATCTATCTAATTCGCCATTTATGTATAATTCTCTCTCTTGCTCGCTCCATAAAAAAAAAAAAAAAAATATATATATATATATATATATATATATATATATATATATATAAATGAATGGAATATATAATAGGGAACATATACATGGGAAATATGTATATTTATGCGCACACACACTATGGAAGCTCGTTCCCGCCACAGGGTTAAATAAAATACTAAATAAATAAAAACTTGTATGAAAACAGTTTTTTTTTTTTTAAGTCAGAATTAGAAGATAGAAATTCAGAATTATGACTTTCTCACAATTCTGATTTTCCCTCCCCCCCCCCTAAATTCTGAGATCTATCTATGTATCTATCCATTTATGTATAATTCTCTCTCTTGCTGTCTCTCTCTTTATATATATATATATATATGCAGCACAATAGTTTCAACACTAATAATAAATCAGCATATTAGAATGATTTCTGAAGGATCATGTGACACTGAAGACTGGAGTAATGATGCTGAAAATTCAGTTTTGATCTCAGAAATAAATTATATTTTAAAGTCTAATAAAACAGAAACCAATATTAGAAATTTAAATATCTCACAAAATTACAGTTTTTCTGTATATTTGATCAAATCGATACAGCTTTGATGAGCACAAGAGACTCCATTAAAAAACATTTAAAAAATCTTACTGATCCCAAACTTTTGTGTGTGTGTGTGTATATATATGTGGGTGTAATTCATCAGCCATAACATACCAAGAAGTTATATTTATCCTTTATTTTCACTTCCCTAAATTAAGCAGCCGCATAAAATAAAAAGATCTAGTGTAGCACAATTCCCTGATTATCCTATAAGAACTTATGTTATTTTTTATATAAATAATTGCACAGCACATCACAGAGATCATAAATGCTATCAAAATCATACACTGACAGGATCAAATAAAAATGACCTATCTTTAAATATCAAGGCCTTAACGGTGCAAACTTCAAATGCTAAGTTAAGCTACATATGTGAGGTACAGTAAAATAACCTACAGCATGAGGTTAGTGGCATGCACTTGTTATGGCATGCATAAAGCTATGTTAAGTTGCTCTCTGAAATGCTGCAATATATTTTTCTGTTAACATTTAGTGGTTCATAATTGATAAACGCATCTTGCATAACGAGGATATCCATTTTTTTATCAAAAAGCATATAGTGCCATAGGATCATGTGATGGTTAGTTTGGATGTGTTTTAAGGCCGTATGTACTGTATTGCTCAGGCATCTTTGGGTGTAATGGCTTAAAGCTAAAAGATGGCCCTTCTAGTTCAGAACGATATGATCTTCACACATCAACCACACATGGTCAGGTACAGCCACTGTAAGAGAGAGCAAAAGAGCTAATTATTTCATTTCCTTTTCTTGAGAAAATATACCATATTAAGTTTTAACGCGTTACTAATTTAACATTCCACCATTTTGAAAAATACAGGTGAACAGAAGGTAAGAAACGACCCACCTCACTAACATTGAGCTCTGCGACGCCTGAGCCCTCTTTGTCCAGCTCTCTAAAAGTCCCTGTTAAAAAATTACACATTTAATGAGTCGTTTTAGTGAAACATTAGCAAAAACAGAATTAGATGTGTAAATGACATACTGAACATGGCCTCCAGTTTGACCAGGCAACAGACAAAATTGTCGAAGTCAATCGTATCTCCATCAGAATATCGTGCCACAATTATTTGATGTAGCTTGTTATTGAGTTTAAAACCTGCAGACAAAGAATAGGCATCATTTTAAGGCTTTCATTTTGAATTAAACTACCAATCTCAGATCAGTTTTATAAATTTGTAGACATTTTTAATGCTACGCATTTATAATTTAAAGGAAAAATAGTAGTTTATAGTCTCTTATTAGCCTGTAGAGCCAAGCTCTCCATTGAACAAGCCCTGAAAATTAATAAAAGAACACATATTATACAGACACTCTATATACTTTAAATAAAACAACTGCAGTGTGTTTGAAAAAGCTGTTTTATTCATGTTTTGGCCGAGTTTTTGTTGCATTTAAACAGTTTAGACCAGCAGTTGTCACCAGCGTGTGGTATTTCGAGTGCTTCAAAATAGTGAATCATTTTGCAAAGCAGTTGGTTCAATTGATTCAAAGTTTAGTTTAGTTCTCCCATTGCTAGATTAAATGCAAACTTAATTTGAAATCCTAAAATCGGGCACTGATCATTGCCTAATGTCAGTGGCGGTGTGAAAACATTAGTAAACGTATGAGCCGGTTCACGTCAGCACCACCAATGACAGACATGGGGGGAAGTCATGGCCTAATGGTTAGAGTCGGACTCGTAACCCAAAGGTTGTGGGTTCAAGTCTCGTACCGGCAGGGATTGTAGGTGGTGGGAGTGAATGTACAGCGCTCTCTCCCACCATCAATACCACGACTGAGGTGCCCTTGAGCAAGGTGCTGGACCCCCAATTGCTCCCCGGGCACTGCAGCAAAAATGGCTGCCCACTGCTCCAAGTGTGTGTTCACGGTGTGTGTGTTCACTGCTGTGTGTGTGCACTTTGGATGGGATAAATGCAGAGCACTAATTCTGAGTATGGGTCACCATACTTGGCCAGTGTAGCCTGATTCACAAACAAACGATCCTTATGAACCGCTTTTTTTAAACAGAAATCATAATCAGTGAAGTCTGATTCCTAAAGGAATATTACTTATTACTTATTACTCTTATGAACTGGTTCTTCTTAGTTAATCAAAACATACAGTCTTGATTTCCAAAAACCACGCATACCAAATTAATCAAAATGATTTAGAATCAGATTTGAATCAAATCTGGATCGATACTCCTCCTTAATCACTATTAAACAACAAGATATCATGGTCAAAGATTTTCACAAGATGAACATTAAAAACTATTACCAGCTGACTCCACGGCGAGGCGCATTTCATATGAGCTCATTGTGCCAGATTTATCCAGATCAAACTGTCTAAAAATGCCCTGCAAATGAAAAATATGAGTTTGAGTTGCTACCGTACTATTCACATGATGTAGGGAAGGTTACGTGATGAGTGATGCACCAGTCAGTTTCTCACCAGCCACTTCCTGATTTTATTCCATAGAATCTGGAACTCCTCAATTCCCAGCCGTGCACTGCAATCTTTCTGAGTTTGATCAGTCAAGGCCAACAAAATCAACCAAAGGCTCAATAATCAGATGAAATATACACACTATTAGATAAGCAAAAGTTGCTTAGCATTTTACAGTCGAAGGATACATCCATCAGGCTGACCATGCACCTACACGACTCCAAACTGAACCCATCTGTCTTCAAGTCCCTGTCTGAAGAACACAGAAGAGCGGAGGCATTTCTCAAGTACACAGACACAGACCAGACATGAACACTTAAAAGTGTCAGCCGAGCTTACGTTTGCCAACCACTCGGTTCAGAATGGTCCTGAGCTCATGAACTGAAATCTCCATGTCCTACAAGAGAGTTTAGATCCAGTTGAATCTAATGGAATACACAATGTTATTAATGAAAAACACAGATAGAACAGTAACACACCTCTCCAGACAGCTGCGCAAACAGTTTTTTAAAAGAGTCTTCCATGGCCTCCTCTGAAACCTCCTCCTGTGGAAGAAGAAAATGTGAGCAGTGTGTGTTTTGTTGGTGGTTTTCAGGTCAGAGCTAGCTATGTGGTAGCTAAGATTATTTGAGTGTTTTATTTAAATAACAGAAAAGTCCTTACTTCATCTTCCAGGTTAAATGAAATCTCATCATCCATTTCTCTAAAAAAAAGACAGAAAAAAAAGAAATACTTTTTATATTAAAGTGATACTGCACAATTAAAAAAACAACATATAAGCTAGTAAAAATATATATATATATATTTACATAGAAATATTTTTGTACCACTGTTGTTTTAGTTGAACAGTCCAGTCACTTACTGAGTTTCTGACTGTTTCTCAGTGAAGACTCGCAGGACAAAATCGGCCTCTTTTCCCGGCTCAAAAGTGGAAGGGACTATGAGATACTCGCCAGGTGGCAGCTTCAGTCGTGTGCTGACTTCCCGCAGGTTAATGAAGGATTCTGAGCGAGCGCGGGATGACTGACGCAAGAAAAATTCCTTCTTGAGGTGAACGCTCTGGGAACCACGAAACTAAGAAACAGATTCAATTAATGAGTCTATATCACAGGTTGTTCAAAACAATTAGAAATTGAATGTACTTTAGAGGTGAAGTGTGTAATTTCTGTGTAGATTTGAAAAAAATTATTGTTTTCGAACAGGTTTCCTGAACACTTCCCTGTCTGTCATTGGTCAATCAAACAGAGAGCTCTGCCCCAACCTCATGCTATTGGTTAAGCCACTGTTGCTATGCTGGGTTGGTGAAAAACTCAGAGGGGAATGTTTTGAAAACACCACAGAGACACACTCTTTAAACATTTAGAGAAAATCAACCAACAAATGTCTTAATTTAAATCTCTGCATTATTACAAGCAAGTATTTTAACATAAAAAAAATTACACACTTCACCTTATATTCCTTTAATACTGAAAAGATTCCATACCTCTTCTGGGACCTAAAAAACAGGAATAAAAGACAAGATTAGTGAAAATAATTATATTTATCAAAATATGTGACTGTTGTATCTCAGCCTTTGTCCTCCAACCTCATATAAAGCGAAGCCAATGGTGTGCATGTCCTGCCCTTGCTTGCGGTAACGTCGCCTGTCCTTCTGCATCAAGGCCACCAGGAAGCTGCAGGCCACCTCATCATCCTCAGGATCATCATCTTCCTCCAGCAGCGTGATCTTATATTGAGGGTTTATCCAGAATGTATCTGACGAAAAAAGACAAGTGTGTAATACAGTATGTCTCAACTGATGCATACGTTTCATTGGGATTGTGTGAACTGATCTCACTGGGGTGGTTCCTGCAGCCCCCTGCTGTACTTCCTCTCCTCCAGGTGCCGTTAAATTTAATCGTGTTCCAGAAATTTAGAGAATCTTCACTCAGAGCGTCTGGTGTGAGGTTACAGATCTCCAGACGAGAAAACTGACGTTTGAACTCCTGAAATGACATCCTGAAGTGGCCAGAGAACAGAGCGTCAGTAAAATGATGTGAAGGGAAATAGAGATGACAATTTAGCGTATAGAGTAGGGCTGTTCAACTTCTGAAGGAGTTGATTCCAAGAACTGATTCCAGCAAATCTTTTACAATTTTACACAATAAATGACTAAAAGACTCACAAAACTCAAAATCCCCCCCCCAAAAACCATGATTAATCCTACAGAAAGAGTCACTGATTGAATCACTGAATTAATCCAAACAAATCATTTTTGTGAACAGAACCAAAGATTTTAAGTGATTGGGATAAATAAAAATCCTCATGTTTAGCAGTCGCAGCTCTTCTGGGATGTGTAGTAGTTTGGTAATCAAGGTAATAGACACTTCAGTTCATGCAGGAGAATCCAAAGCTTTGTAGTCGACTCTCAATTGCCAACATCTTTGATTCTTTTTGGGACTGACTCTCAGCCCTAATACAGAGTGCATAGTTAAAGGTGTGAGAACCATGAATATCCAGTCTCTGTGGAGATTTACCAGAACTCGCCATCCTCCATGTGGTTGTTCATTTCCTCTCTCTCTGCTGGATCAATCCCATTCCACTCAGAAGAACTGGAAATGAAGTGTAAGTGTTACACTATGAGCAGGTCCTGTATGAGCAAGTATATCTGAATGCATTCTGATTGGTTGACTCACTTGTCACTCCAAGCCCCTGTCCATTCAACTTGCCCCCAAGGGTTTCGGATGCGGATCAGCTTCTCTCTGCTGCCACGGAAATTCACCTAAAATTAAAATAACAAGGGTCTGATGAAAATCGTTATAACTGTAAACTAATGAGCTCAAGATACATTTTAGAGGTGATCCTGACCTCTCTGAGACCCGTGACAGAATACGCATGCCCCTTCACCAGCTTCTTAAAGGTTACAGCCTCCATATCAAAGGCACTGGTGATCTACCAGACAAATACACTCAAATTACACACAAAAAAAAAAAAGAGTAAATGGATCCATAAATGCTGCATTGTGTTTCCAGGCCTGTAGTAGGCGCTGTGGGTACTCGCATCAATAGAGCAGCCCAACAGTGAGCCTCTCTCCAAGGCTTTGGCAATGACGCGGGGCAAGTCTTTGGGAGCTGTACGCAGCTCGTACATCTCGGCCACTCCACCCGTGAAGTCCTCAAAACCTTCAGTGGTGGACCCTCCTGACAGAGCTTCATATGAGCCATTCAGCCTACAAGCACATACGCACATGTTATGGATCCAATGACTGTCATATGCAAAAGAGAAATCAGAGAAAGAGACTCACTTGGCATAGGCTTTTTCCAGCAAGGCACTCCAAAACTCATTTCCCTCTGCTGAGTGAACAAACATCAGCTCTTTATCCTTCACAGGCAAACGGTCATCGATCACAACGTCCACCCACTCGCCAAACTGCCAGAACTGCGGAACATGGGAAAAAACATATTAGTAAAACAAATGTTGTGATAAAAATATATGTATATTAAGTTTACCCAAAAACTAAAATTAGCTGAAAAATAACTCACCGTCAGACCATCCAAGACATGGATCCATCCGTCATCTATCTTTCATCAATGGAACATATTTGGAGAAATTTAACATTACATTGCTTGCTCACCAATAAATCCAATGCAGTGAATGGGTCAAAATGTGAGTCCAAACAGCTGATAAAGTCCAGCCGAATGCAATGGTTTGAAGTTAGAATGTCCTAATGATAAATTTCTTTACAAACACGCAGCTTTTCACTTCGCTAGAAGTTAACTGATGGACTGGAGTAGTGTGGATTATTGTGATGTTTTTATCAGCTGTTTGGACTCTCATTCTGACGGCACCCATTCACTGCAGAGGATCTATTGGTGAGCAAGTGATCTAATGCTACATTTCTCCAAATCTGTTCTAATGAAGAAACAAACTCATCTACATATTGGATGACCTGATGGTGAGTACATTTTCAACAAATCTTTATTTTGGGGTGAACTACTCCTTTAATAAAAATTTAATTTGTATAGCTCTAACATGTTGATAAAAAAATACTAAAATAGTAAATTATCAAAATAAAGAATGAAAGGCAGAAGTTTAAGAACTTTGTATTTGTAATGTGTGTTCTCCATGTCTGTCACTCATTAACAGTCAGCTGTGCACCTGGAAATGGAAGATGCCGGCATACTCGTCCGTAAAGCTTTGTCCATGAGGAACAACTCTGTGAAGCAGCCTGTCGTTTAAAGTCAGGGATGCGATGGCAGCTAACAACCAACAGTCACCTGAGTTGAGAGAAATTATCATGGTAAACGTTTGTATGTACCACAATGCCCCATTAGGGGGAGCCCTCCACCCACAGCCAAAAAGGGGGTGGAGAATGTGTTTGTACAACGAGATAACAGCACAGTTTCAATACTGTACATTTACTCTAGATGAAAGCTGCTTTATCTCAAACACCCTTGTCAAAGCCAAACCCCTTTGGCTGCGGAGGCTTGAACCACGTCATGAGGTTTTCTGTGTGCTAAATGAGAGGTAAAATGCATATCTGTGATAAGCTTCGCCATCCTCCTCCACCCAGTGTTTGCTGCACAAACACACATTTTGTTTGGCACTCATGAGTGCACACCCTCTCTCTCACACACTCACACACACACACACACCATGAGCTGTGGCTTGCAGCCAGCGATCCCAGAGTTCTCTAATGCTCCACCCTTGTCTGTGTGACTCACCACTCAGGCATCATGTTTAACCACTCCCCACCAGCCAGGAAACACACACACACACACACACACACACACACACACACTCATCTGCCCCCCAAAACACATTTCCTCTTAACAGCAACAGAAAACACTTCAAATTGTGATCATAGAGGTGTTATAAATCATATTTTGACTAAGAGGGATTTGCCATTAGTTCATTCATCAATCCAGTGGTCATACAGCCAAAATATATAAAGTATGCAGTAAAATAAAACATGTAGTTCCAGCTCTGGCTTCTGATTGGATGATATAGATATCCAGTGATATACACAAAATCTATCTATCTATCTATAAGTCCATGCATCCATTTATCTGACTCACTATCTACCTCTAACTATATATCTATCCAATCATCCGTCTTTCTGACTATCTATTTCTATCTGTAAATCTATCCATCTGACTGACTATCTATATTGATTACATTATGTTGACATCCATGCTAATACCTCAGTGTGTATGTCTATATGCTGTGTGTATCATAACTGGCAAGTTCAAAAGAAAGTCTCTACATAAGGTTTCTACATTTGTGTGGCAACGTTTGACAGCAGTATGTGTGAAGTTCACAGACACACTCTGTTTTGCTTGGATTTAAGCTGCCGGATCACCCAAACTGCATTGAAGCACAAATAAAGCTCCTGACATTCAGTGGGCTAACGTGTGCAAGCATGCACAAACATACACACCCAGGCTAATACAGTACATACTCACCTAGGGCCCCCTGGCAAATATCTGTACGTGTGGCTCCGCCCACTATGAACTCAGGGTTGTTTGACAGCTCCTGCAAACATTACGCAAGCAAATACAACACGTAAGAGCAGCACCTCAACCAAAGCGTGCTACTGTCCCTGTCAACCTAAAACAACCAGAGGCGGACAGTAACTAAGTACATTTACTTGAGTATTGTACAAAAGGAAATTTACTTTTGGTACTTAAGTACTTTTAAAAGCAAGTACTTCTGTACTTTTACTTAAGTAAAAATCTGTCTTTACAACTTTTACTTGTAATGGAGTAATATTTGACCAGCAGTATCTGTACTTTCACTCAAGTAATGGAGTTGTGTACTTTGTCCGCCTCTGAAAACAACACACTTCTTTCATGATTTCACATCAACTGTATCTTTAAACATACGTATCATACATCTGTGAGATGATGTTTTCATTCAATTTCTTTCTATGTCAAATGCAAAGTAGTCTAAGTACATACAAGTATGATACTGCCAGTTAAGCTATGAAAATATTGTTTGAGCTTTGAGAAGGATACACAGTCCAATAAAATAAAATTATAAAATTTAAATAATGAATGAAATGTTTCAGCATATATAAACAGAACTTTGCTAAAATAGATTTTTTTTAAAGGATGGATATATTTTATTTTTGTCATTCAATTAGAAAGTAGTCCTAATTTAACTCTTTAAGAGCTAAACTAACCCTAACTCTAACTTACGTGATACCAACACTGTTGGAGCCATGGCTTAGTAGTTTTGCCTTGGTTTGCATGTGAGAAATGAGCATCTAGCTCATGTAATTTCTCGATCTTGATCCTCCAACTTAATTTCCTAGCCTTTTTCTACTCTAACAATCAATGCAACTGAAAAAAATGTCAAAAAGGAAAGCAAGAACCTTGTCTCAGTAATTAACACCAGAAGTTACACCTTGGTTCTCATATGGGAAATGAGAGTTCGAGTCTAGCTCATGTAGTTTCTCAATCTGGTTCCTCCCATTTCATTTCCTGTCCTCTTTTTTCCATCCCAATCAATTAAGGTGTCAAGTTGTGCTAAAAATAAAAACATGAGACTTGTCTTAGTAGTTAGAACCCATTGTTGTGTATTAGTTCTAATGTGGGAAATGAGAGATCGAGTCGAACTTGCGTAATTTCTCAATCGTTGTCCTCCCATTCCCTCTTAATCAATAAGTGTTCAAATGTGCCAAAAATACAGACTATGCAGTTGTATGCAGTAGCTAGTGTGCCGTTTGTATAGGCCGTGCTCTGCGACACTCACAGTGGGCCTTATCCACTGCACACCGTGTGTTTTGGAGGAGTGTGGCGCGAGCTCCTTGAAGCCCAGTGACTGAGGCACAGCTGGGAAGCAGGTGTCCTCAAACAGCCTCCCACTCTCCAGACACTCTCTCTTCAGCTCCTCGTAGTCCTGGTTCAGGAACTTGACCGCATTGTCATTGGTCCCCATCCCTTCTGCCTGCAGGCGTTCCTTGTAAATACGCGACGACACTCCTCCAACTGAATACATACTGTAGTGCACCAAAATAAGGAAGTAGTCATTTAAACACATGCTTTAATCCAAAGTAAATCCCATATTTTTCCAAACCCATATCCCATTCACTTTTTGTAACATGGAAAAGAGTGGACACATCTTGGTTTGCGTTCCATAAAAAAAAGAAAGTCATTCAGGTTTGGAACAACATGAGAAAGAGTCAAATATTACAGAACTACCCCTTCAAATGATTATAGCTCCTGGGTTTCTTGTGGGAATCGAACCTGCAACCTTCTGATTACAAACTTTAACCGCTACACCAAACCTAAACAAAAGACTCAAAGTGTGTGCACATGGCAGATGGAGACTGGTTACTAGAAGCTAGCACAGAAATAGCACCATCATTCGACAGCGTGCGTTCAATGTCTCTGAGCATTTAGCGCAAAGTGCTGCTGCTAAAAGGCTTATAATGCTTGCTTATGGTCAGCCACGTTGCCATTATTAGTGCACCAGCATTCATGCAGCTTTTAGTCCAGCTAGCTGAGAGAAATGCCCTCTACAACAGACACTCGATTAGCACCCTAATGAGGTTGGAGAGAGGTTTACTAATGACTGACTAATTCCATGTTGTCTTGTAATATGGTTACCCATCATCTCTGCAGAAAAGAAAAGAAAAACATTGCCAGACCCTAATTTCTTACATTAGCCATGATTTCAGGGATAATGTCCATGGAGGGCAGTTCTCTAAGTGGTAGCTAAAGAAAACCACATAGACCCAGCTAAGATAACTATGCTAGAATTGGACATTTAGTTCATTATCGTTCCTTTCTGGAACTGCAACTACAGAAAGACAAGAGAGTGAATATACCTTAGGTTCCTTGTGTGGGCCGCGAGCTTGAGGAGAAAAAGGTCATTTAGAAATATATTGAACAGTAGGAGAAATCATCTCATTGCTAATTTGCTAACATTCATGTTTCTGTTGCAATATGCATGTAAATATGGTACAGTGATGCTAACAGATGGCAATACCATGGTCCTCCATAGTGTATTCATCATATTTACATGACGGTCCAAAGTACTTCAAATTATTATTATACCATGGTATATCTCCAAAAAAAGAAGAAGAAGAAAAATATTACCATGTTGTACTTTTTTGTTGTCTGCATCATGTAAGTGTGTAAATGTACACGTGTAACTGTCAATCACATTTATATATAGTATAAAAAGTACAGTGGATATTCTCCAAATACGGTTTTTACCAAAATAATGAACTTAACCAGTTTTAACTGGATTTCTCTGAGTTGCAATTGGGTAGATAATGTGGTATGTAAACACAACATTGCCCTCTGATACTAAATGTCAGCTGACTTGTGATGTGAAATCAATAGGCCAGACTGAGCATCAGCACTCTAGTGTTTGTTTTAGATTATGAATAAACACACCCTCAAAAACAGCTGCACATATTCACTCATGCGGCTTTATATAGTCATATTTAATTTAGTCTGAGTTGATTTTTGTTCAAATGACCACAACCTAGACAAACCTAGTAATGTAATATTGTTGAATGTATTATATACACGCACATACACACATATGTAATGCAAGTATGATGCACGCCCTAAATGCATTAATAATTGATGTGCATTGTGTGTATAATGTTGTCGCTTTGCTTATAAATTAATAAGACAGATTCACAAGCACCGTTAGAAATTTAAGAAATAAGCTATTTAAAATGAAAAAAAAATGGTTTTGTCAGTTGCTGGAAATATAGGGCGAAGGTGTCCCACTTTGTCACATAACGGACGGATAGTTAACACGGAAAAGTGAAGCTAAACTTACCAGCGTTTAGTTGTCACTATGGTTATCAGCCCAGCTGGTGCGCTTTAAAACAGCGGAAAAGAGAGAATGATGAGCGGGTCCTGTGCAGATGAGACACAATAAGCAGGGTACCGCAGTGCACGGCCACGCCCACGAGGGAGGGGCTAACAAATGATTGACAGGTGAGGAGTCAAATAAACTGCCTCTGAGCAAGATTTCTTAAAGGGACCGGAAATGCCGCTTTACTAAATCCAGTCATGCACAAAAACACAAGTTCCTACTGTTTCAAAAGTGTTTAATAATGTCCTTTGGAGAGAAAACATTCATAATAATGCACACACACACTTTTTTAATAGACAGTAAGTGGTTAAGATTCTCCTAGTTCAAGGATGCTTGCATTTGTAAACAAAAATAGTGTGCCAATGTCAAACGCAATAAAACCATGCAACACTTTGGAAGTAAGACCGGTCGAAAGTGCAATAGACAATTAAAAAAATAAAAGTAAATACAAAAAATGTAACACATGTAATCTTAATAATTCACTCATCACTGAGTGGTGTGGACTGGCGATGAGTCGTCTAAATCATAGTGAAGTTCAGCCACTAAAAAAGACAAAGAAAACGTGTTTAAAAATCTATCTATCTATCTATTTTCAAAATTTAATTTATATTTCAATTATATAATTTTCAAAAACGTTATAGCATGACAGACCTGCTGAAAGTCCAGCTCAATGAAGCCACTTTGGTGCGGATCCAGCTTTTTGAATACCCCTGAAAATGAGAGGTAGGTTCACTAAAGATGCTCCAGAACTACAGGGGGCGCTGACCCTACACAAGGGCCCATTATAAACAGGCCTGGACACAATCTGCAGGCATTTTCTATGATGATTTTAGGGTCAAACCTGCTAAATTAGCCCAAATATTTAATAACCAAACACCGAAGGGACTTACGGAACATCATCTCCAGACGCATGAGGCAGGCCACATAGTTATCAAAGTCAAGAGTCATGTCTGTCTCGGCGTAACGTGCTACCAGTAGCTGAAATATAGTGTTATTAAGAGTGAAACCTAGAAGAGGAAAGAGAACATAAGCAGTGAGTATTAAAATATGCCACCAAAAGGATTTCTGTGAGAGTTTCTGAGACTCACCGGCTTCTTTCAGCGCCAAACGCAGCTCTGGAGTGCTTATGGTTCCGGAATCATCCATGTCATTCTTCTTGTAAATTCCCTGGGGTTATTATAAAATAGAGCAACATGTCATGACATTTAGACATTCTTTTAAATGGATAATTGTGTTAAAGGCTTCTGGTGGATCTCTTACAAGGTATCGCTGAATTTTCTTCCACAGAGTAGCGAACTCTCCCAAACCCAGTTTTCCATTCCCACTGTCCTGAGATACAGTTAAGGGACACTTACAATTCAACACCACCAAATTCTTGTAATTCCAGACTCAAGCACATACGATACACAAACAACAAAAAGTAAGCAACTGCAGCTGAGAGGATACATCCATGAGGTTCACTATGATACGACACGTCTCCAAACTGAAGCCGTCCGTCTTTATGTCAGTTCCTACAAAACAACACATAAAGCAGCTCCTCAGACTCAGACTCTTCGTTAGATCTCAAGCATAAAATAGAGGATGCAAGAGCCCTTACGTTTCGCAATGATTTTGTTTAAGATAGTCGTGAGCTCTGTGGCTGAGATTTCCATGTCCTATAGAGAGAAGTATGGTTTGGTTGCTCTGCTTTTCAAAAAAAAGTGTAACTGTTTACTGCATAACAAGTCGTCTCTACTTACAGCTCCAGCGAGTTTTACGAACATGCCTCTGAATCCAGAATCAACTTCACTGTCTGAGACAGTCTCCTGGAAACAAGAGGAAGCACAGTTTAAAAAAAATGTTCCATGTTCAATAAGACCTTTTGACAATATCTTGATTACCACCAAAAATGTAATAATAATAATTAGTAGTAGTAGTAGTAGTAGTAGTAGTATTGTTATTATTATTTATTAATGTATTATTAGTAGTAGTGGTAGTAATTGTATTTATTAATTTATTTTCATTTTTATTGATTAATTTGTTGTTATTATTATTATATTTATTATTGTATTTATTCTTAACATTATTTTTAAATTAAAAACTATCATTTAATTCATTAAGGAATTATCTTCAGCATTAATCAACCATTTGTGGCAGAGGAAAATATTAACAGTCAGTAGCTATGTTTTCATCCATTTATGCAAATTTTGAGATATTGCATTTAAAAATGCTTTATGGAAACACCAAGTTGCGGTTAAAATCTTAAAATTCCCATGCGATATGTATAGACTCAATAGAGGAGGATCATTTTTCTATCAGATTAGAAAATTTGCACATAAACGGACCATACAAAAAAAAAGAAAACAAAAAAAGTCATGTGACTTTGCCTCAACAGATTAGATTTGAAATTTTATTATTGATACTTTGCACCAATTTCACAGAAAGTGCTCATTTTGTTCTCTTCAACACATGGGATGGAAACGGTGCTTTATTGGCACATTTTTTTGTGATATTCCAATTTTCTGCATAAGTTGAATTTGCAACTTTGGATGGAAACATAGCTAGTGTAACGCTGTTGACTTACATCAGGTAGTTCAGCATCCACAGGGTCATCACATGGTCTGGGAATAGGCATAAGATTATCCAATCAAATTCAGAACCAAGTATTCAAAATAAGAAGATATACAGTCACATTGGCATATAATAGAGAAACCTCACACAGGTGAGATACATTACAGTGTTTCGGTCTGTTTTTCGGAAAAGACGCGGAGGCAAAAGTCTCCGTCCTTATTGGGTTCGAAGGTGGACGGCACGACGAGGTACTCTCCAGGAGGCAGCTTGAAGCGTGTGCAGACCTCTCTCAGGTTAATGAATGTCTCAGAGCGAGCTTTCTGCGCATGTGTCAGGAAGAAGTTCTTATCGAGGTGCACGTCGCGCTGACCGTGAAACTGACACAGACAAAGGCCAATCAGTGAGCCAGAAGTACTGTGATGAATAGTATGATTGGTCATGAGAAACACCCCGCCCCTCTTTGTAGTGTTACTCTTACCTGTGGAGGTACCTGTGGAAGCAAACAAAAACAAAAGGTTGATCTGATGTTAATGTAATCTGGGGGTTCTACTGAAGTAATTATGTTCATGTCCTCGCCATACATGAGAATCAAAATGTTTAGATGCTCCTTGTGTCTCTACTCACCTCATAAATTGCAAAGCCAATAGTGTGCATGTCCTCTCCCGCTTTCCTCAGACGGCGCCGGTTCTTCTGGATCAAACCCACCACGAAACTGCAGCCCACCTCATTATCATCTGGATCGTCATCTTCATCATTCAGCTTAATCACAAATTGAGGATTCATCCAGAATGTGTCTGAGGAGCAATGAATGGATGTCGTCAGCAAGATTATTAAGCAAACCAAACCAACCAAACTTTGACACTTTGACTTTTCAGGCATTTCAGAATGACCAAAATAGCATTTTTTGGTCGACTGGTTAGTCCAGTTATGCCGTCCCATTGCGCAAAGTCACATTACTTTTTTGATGTATTTATTCAGTAAATGTGTAGTTTTTGTGCATATTTTCTTATCGGATAAAACATTTATCCGACTCATTTGAGCGCATGATTTATTTATGTTTATTTTTAGAATTTATGCACATCTTGGCATTTCCATTCAGCCTTTTTATATGCGATAGCCCAAAATGCACATAAAAACAGGTGCATGGAAACATAGCTCGTGAATGGACATTATTATTAGCCAAACTACACGAACCAAACTTTATAACCCCAAGATGTGGGTAAAATAAAATATGCATAACTAGAATGGAAACACATTTACTCTATAAATTACAACACATTTACCAAATAAGTAACTTAATGAATGGACGCAGCCATTATTAAACAAACCAAACCAAACAAACTTTGTAACACTAAGATGCAGATAACATCTTGAAATACACATAACTAAAACATATGCTCTCAATCGAAAAAGATAATTCTTCTATCTGATAAGAACACATGTGCATAAACTACACTGGAAACACTTTTACCGAATACATTTTTCGATGCGCAACAAAATCTCAATGAATGGATGTAGCCGCCAGCAATATTATTAAACAAACCAACTAACCGAACTTTAGTGTAACACTAAAATGCGGATAAAATATTAAAATAAAAAATTTAAAAATATGTAATTGAGGTGGATAATTTTTCTATTCGCTAAGAAGACATGCGCAACAAAAAACTCCACAAATGGATGCAGCCATCAGCAATATTATTTAGCAATCCAAACATAATAAGTGCTAAGATACAGATACATATGCACTCAAGTAGGGCAGATCATTTTTATATCCGATAAGAAGACGTGCATAAACAAACTTTGTAACACTAAGATACAGATAAAATCTTAATATATGCATAAAAACGTATGCACTCAATTGAGGCAGATCACAGGAAACACATTTACCGAAAAATTTCTTGAAACTTAATGAATGGATCCAGTCCTCAGTAATATTATTAAGTGAAGTTATTAATGTAATGTCTGGAGGAGTACGCCCATCTAATCTTCCAATTAATACTCAAGTATAAAAGACAGCCTCTTACCACTTCCGTTGTTAGTTCTTGCGGCATCCCTCCTCCTCCCCATCTCCGCTTTTATGCATATTTACTTATTTATCTTTATGTCTATAGGGGGCTATCGGAGCTTGAGTAGAATAGTCTCTCTGAGCCCTCCATTGCAGACATCAAGCCAAATCTGTTTACCACTAGTGCTAAGATTATATGGGCACACAAACTCGTGAAACAAACCAAACCAACCGAAGTTTTGTGAATCAATTTTTGTACAGAAATGAAGCGATTCACAAAAATGAATCTGATCCCCGATGCCTGATGGTGTATTTGTGGATTTTGTGCTCACAAGCATTGTTTCTGCAGCCCCCAGCGGTAGAGCCTCTCCTCCATGTGCCGTCGTGGTTGGTCACGGCCCAGTGTTTAACTGAATCGCTGGTGATGGCGTCCGGGGTCAGAGTGCAGATCTCTATACGAGAGTAATGGCTAAGGAAATCTGAGAATGACATCCTGAACACAGAGAGAAAACGTACATAATATATAACGAGTGGAGAATAGGAATTTAAAATCCTAGCGTGTAGATTGCACTAAATCTAGATCCATAAAGAAGTTCGTAAACGCACCAGAATTCTCCATCCTCAGCGCTGGCGTTCGGCCGCTCTGAAGAAATATTGTTCCATTCGGATGAACTAAATGAAAGAAAAAATAAACAATCGGTGATGCTACCGTTTCCAAATTATTTCCATAGATAGCCATTAAAACTATGAATTCAACATAATTCACAGAGGCCATATCTTATCATTTTGTCAGGAGTCAGGATTTCTTGCATCCCAAATAGTCATGTGCACTTTAGACCCTCTCGTTGACCCTTAAAATTACAATACAATACAATACATCTTTATTGTCAACCATGGTTGAAATGTGTCTTTGACCATACCAGCAAAAACCAAATACACATACAGACACATACTACAAAACACATAAAAACCATCATACTGAATCACATAACTTTTTGATTAATAAATCCTAGTAATTAAACTTTTAGTTGTACTGTACCTTTAAGACTTGGATATGTGAATGACCTCTGCTCTGTTATTAATGATTAATTTCCAAATTCAACAATTTGTTTATTGATTTTAATATGTATTTATATGTAACAAAAATACATGCAAAAACACTGAGTAAACATTGGGTTTCATTCATTAATAAGTGTGTGGATTATTTATTTGAGTATGTGATTTTATTTTATTTTATTTATTTGCATGTGGTTTTAGGTGTTCCTACATGTTTTTGTAAATTTGGAGTAAATTTCAGTATGAACGTTACTGGTGAATCATGTTTTGTTTGTGAAGATGTTTGTAAGTAGATTTCATGCACAAATTCTTGAATACTAATGGTTAGTGAATGAGACCCACTTTTCAACCCAACAGTTTCAATTAAAATCATTTAATTATTGTCATGATACACATTTTATGTTAAGTCCTTGTGATTAACAAAATCAACAACCATTTTAATCACACAAGATTAACATTGTGCGATTGCGACCTCATTATTTCTGAATAATTTTTTGCTATTTTAGTTATAATCATGAACTTTTATAGTATCTCTGGTGCTGGCGGTAATGAAACCGTACCCATCACTCCAGGCTCCGGTCCACTCCACCTGCCCCCAAGGGTTGCGCATACGAACCAGTTTCTCCTTGCGGCCACGATAGTTCACCTGAGACAAAGCAGAATGCACTCTAATGACAAAATGTATTATATTATTAAAAACAGAGGCCTGCCAATAGCTCTATTCATACCTCGGTCGCCCCCGTGAGCGAGTAAGCGTGGCCTTTCACCAGCTTCTGACGGGTGACGGCTTCTGAATCAGCGGCACTAGTGATCTACATCACAGAATTACAAATAAAACAGGCATATCTGAAAATGGCCGTGGCTTAAGACCTAAAAGTGATTGCTGATTGGTCAGTATACTATTCCATAGATACTATTCCAACTTCAATTCAAATACAGGCAGAGGAATCTCACGTCGATGGAGCAGCCTAGCAAAGCTCCAGCCTCCAGGGCTTTCTGGATGATCTGAAACATGTTGGATGGTGCTTTCTGCAGATCGTAGCTCTCAGCGATGCCTCCAGTGAAATCCTCGAAACCCTCACTGGTGGATCCCCCAGACAGAGCTTCATAACAGCCGTTCACCCTGCCAGAGACCATAAAACATGTACATTACATGTATTTGAGCTCAGTTTGAGAAACTATTTAAGACCTACTGTTAAACAGTCTCATTAAGTGAAACTACTGTATATCCTATTAAATAAAATTTTTGATACTATACACCCTCATCCGTCCCTCGGGTCATTTTGACCCAAAACCCCCCCAAAAAAAGATTTTTTAAAAATCGAGTGTTGATCTTTATTGTATGAGACTTTGTTACATTTGAATTCGAGCAGTTTAAGTGGGTTCTAAAAAAAAAGTATCAAATGTGTCCCTCGCGGGTCATTTTGACCCGCCACTGGAAAAGCATGGAATTGACAAAAAAACTTTTTTGTTTTAATTTTTTTAATTTAATTTTGTCACACTTGAGCAGGAAGCACACACAAAAAAATGTGAGTCGATTCGAGGATTCTATGTGGGTGTAATAAAAAAAGTATTACACCCACAAGTATTACATTCATTTTGACCCAGCCATAGGAATGAATGGAATGTTCGAAAACCCCCCCAGCATTTTTTAATTTATTTGATTTTTTTGACTATATCTATCTATTATCTGACACAATCCAGAAAAGATGCATACCCAAACAAAGGGCTGAGACTGCAGAATGTCCTCAATGCACAAAAAACTCTCTATATGAAAGCCTTGAGATATATCTGAAAGCTTAATGAAGCCTCAAGTTGGTGTAGTTTTAAACATTTCACTTGTTTGGCTCATTTAAGAATCTCCATAGGGTTCTATAGGCCCCTCTAGTGGCTGTAATCATAAAATGCTATTTTATGTCATTTTTCCCCACCAGATGGCATCAGAGACACTCAGTGACCTAGGTCCTGATGGATGATCATGTTTAAAGTATAAATATGCAGAAATGGTCTTTCTTTGTTTTGTTTTTTTGGTGAAAAAATGTATAAAATATGCACATTTTTCAATGTGAATAAAATAAAAAATCACCAAAAAATAATACATTTTAAAAAACCTACATAAAAAATTTAAAATAAAATTCTGAAAAATGGACCAATATAAGCTTTCTGGACCAAAAATAAAATTAGTGTCATTTTTGGCCTTCGGGTCATTTTGACCCGCGAGGGACACTTTTGTGATAGGTTCGGGAGGGACGGATGAGGGTCAAAATGGACTTAATTGTTGTTTTGCACGCTTGAATGTCTACGAAAAGGATGGACTCCATTTGGGAATCATGAAATTACTTCCTTCTCTTTTATGTGATGGTCAAATATTTACTGAGTGGTTAAAATTTAATTCTCTACAAATAACTGGCTGTAAATGTGCTGTCGATTTAAACCTATAGAATGAAGAACAGAAAATATATAAGTGCAGAAAAAGAAAAACTATGAAGAGAAAATTATGTAAAAATGTATATATTGCCAAAAAATAATCCACAGCATTGAGTGCTGCAGGGGTAACATATTTGTTGTAGGCCAAAACCTGGAAAGAAGTTAGCATTTTAACATTTATGATTTCATTATCCTGAAGTCAGTGGGTTTTTCAAAATGGGTTTTTAAGGTTTGTGGTGAACACAAGCTCAACATATGCTCATGTTTTATTCTACCACATAAAATACATCAGTAATCCCCCTTATGATTTTTTTAAAGCTTTTACGTGGTTGTTAACAAGTGGTTAAATTGGACTACAGAGGTCTTCTAGTCACTAGTTAAAGTTAGAGAACTCATCTAGTCACTAGTTAACTTTTACAGCCTCGTTGTGTTTATAATCTCGCACTTGCAAACTATTATAACTCAGTCTTTCTGGAAAATGTTTTTAAATAAAGATTGAAAGAGTTGCCAGAAGCCTAATGTTGGCGATGGTGAAGTCATGTGGCCTTGGTGTAGTTCTTTTAGCCTATAGCCTAAGTTTAGCTTTTTACTTCTGCTGATTGCATTTAGGCATTAAAATTCATAAAAGTTGTGCTAATTTTTGAAGATAATCATGAAAGAATCATAAACTTTTTTTGGTCACAGACTTTGGTCAGTAATCCAAAAGCCATTGTAAAAATCAGATTGGGTTTTGGTCAAAGGAACCAGGTTGATAGTTACTTACAGGTTGGCCTACAATAGCATGTCATCACTGCAGCACTGCATATCATAAATACTCATGTATGACATCACCCCTTGTGGGCGGGGCCATTCCCATAGTTTTCATGAGGGTTCCAAAATTAGTAGCTCACTGGCTGTAAACGCATTCTTACACACAACAAATGACAGCTGGTCCACATTATGTGTTCAGATGACAATGATAAACACTAAAGAATAAGAGTAAGAGACAAATATATAGCAAGGGAGTGAAAAGCCACTAGCAAGACGGTGAGCACTAGGTTAAAAACATACTACGCAAAATGAAACACCCTCATTCCAAGAATACACCTGCTGTGGGTAAAGCCTGCTGTGCTTGTATGCAAGGTTCACTAACAACCAGATCCACACAGAACGTGTTGGGTTTTTTCGTACTAGTCTTTTAATTGACATAGAATTGTCCAAACGACAAATAAATTTTTTTTTTAAATTGTGCGTAATAATTCAAATCAGTTGACAGTCCTAAAGAAAACAAAGGATCATCCTGTTGATTATTCTTAGAAAGTAAGTTGATCTTCTGGTGGTGGCAGTTCTACTATGAGTACACAAAAAAAATACACAAGAAACAGCACACACAAACACTAACTTGGCATAGGCCTTCTCCAGCAGGGCGCTCCAGAACTCGTTTCCCTCGGCGGAGTGAACAAAAACCAGCTCGCCATCTTTCACCGGCAGCCGGTCATCAATGACAACATCCACCCACTCGCCAAACTGCCAGAACTAAAGGATGGAGGTCAAGGGTACAGACTCACATTATCTGTTCAATCTCAAAAAGTGTGTGAAACTGCAAAGACACCCATACACAAACATCTTAGAGTCAAACTCTCCATTAAAAAGCAAAAAGTACTTTTTGGAGACTTGTACCGTTGGACATGAACTATGTATTATGATGGTTTTTAGACATATACTATGCTATTACTATGTTTTTTGGACATGTACTACGGTATTACCATACACACTACCATTCAAAAGTTTTAATGTTTTTTTTTAAAGAAGTAACTTTTGCTCACCAAGGCTGCATTTATTTGATCAAAAATACAGTAAAACGGTAATATTGTGAAATATTTTTACAGTTTAAAATAACTGTTTTCTATTTGAATATATTTTATATTTATATATGAATATATTTTTGTGATACAAAGCTGAATTTTGAGCATCATTCCTCGAGTCTTCAGTGTCACATGATCCTTCAGAGTCCTTCACTCTAATATACTGATTTAGTGCTCAAGAAAAACGTCTTATTAATATTAATGTTGAAAGCAGTTGTGCAGCTTCATCTTTTTTTTGGAAACCATGATACTTTTTTCAGGACTATTATTTGAAATATAAATCTTTTGTAACATTATAAATGTCTTTACTGTCGCTTTTGATCAATTTAATGCATCTTTGCTGAACAAAAGCTTCAAATCACTTAATTTCTTACTGACTCTCTTTTACTGAACTTCTGAATGGTAATATAAATACATATGGTAATACCATGTTTTGGTTATGTACTACAGCACTATATTTCTTACATATGTACTGTATTACCACATTGCTTTATTATATAGAAACATGATTTTTTTTTGGATATTACTGTGTATTACCATGATTTTTTTTACCTACATTATGATTTTACAATTCTTTTTATTTATAAAAATGTACTATAGCATTACCATGTTTGTTTGCCATGGCAATACCATGTTTTCTGGGCATTCACTATGGTAATACCATGATATTACAGTAGTATTCTTTAAAATACCTTGGAGTAGCATGTAAACATAATGGTATATGAATATAGTTTCCATGGTAAATACCATCAATGTAAGGAGTGGTATATATTTTTGAATACTAATACATTTATAAAAAGCACCAAGCAACAAACTACTGCAAAAAAAAAAATAATGTCCATGTTTTTCATTAGCATGCCAATGAATTTATATTGTAACACTATAATGCAAAGTGATACGTTTACTCTAACAGTGTAACTTGCAGATACCTGGAAATGGAAGATTCCAGCGTAATTGTCACTGAAGCCCTGTCCAGCGGGCACCACTCTTGCCAGAACGTCTTCATTCAGGGTCAGAGAGGCTATGGCCGCTAGCAACCAGCAGTCACCTGAGAGACGGCGAGACAGGATGTGAGACTGTGACTGTGTTTACGACTGAAACAGCCACATACAGGCTTCTTTTCACTCAAATCTTTAATGATTATGGAAATTAAGTTACATATACTTGCATTTGGAATGCAAAGTGAAACTCTGACAACCATTTTTAACTTGACATTCAAAACGCCTGCAGACAAGCAAGGACAGGCACATTTTGAGGGATGCAAATGAAACTCATGATCGAACCAGGCAGCCAATGAGCGCCATTGTGGTTTTCGTGTCACGCCAAGTGGTGAGCTGCAAATCTGAGACAGCAGACGCATGTAGAAAATGCAGAGACTTGAATCTGCCCTCCTCAAAAGACAGCAGGCTGCTTTTCCTGCAGTCTGACACATGTATCACGTATGTTTCTAATGCAAGACTTTACGGGAGAAATACAGCCAAGTTCTTCTCTCTTGAACTGCAGCCTTTAATAACAAAAGAGGTTGTGTGCAAATTCCCACTGGCTAGTTTCTAGGTTTGGATGGTTTGTATTATGTGTTTGGCTCAGCCATTCGGTTAGTGGTAAACACAACAAACAGGAAGGAACGAGGCAAAAGAAAGTGAGATTAGGTATCGAAGGGGATGGTAAAGTTACTAAAGTTACTAGTGTAAGGCTAATAGAATGTAAATTAACTGTTGAGATAGAAAATAGAGATAGAAGTTGGGTGCTCCAAGTCCTCAGAACTGTTTAGATAGATAGACAGATAGATAGATAGATAGATAGATAGATAGATAGATAGATAGATAGATAGATAGACAGCAGCTTATTTCAGTTTGAGAAAACACTTTTTTAATAGCTTGGAATGAGGACTAGGTTAAAAGCATCCTTCGAATACTGATCCACCCTTATTCTAGGTATTACATTGTGTGAGTGTTTGCTTTTTCACAATGTTCACAATGAACTTAATTCATTGTTAAGGCTTCGTAGAATTAATAATGGACTTCACCACAGTTATAAGTAATGTGCATTATGCAATCAAATTAGGGAGTAAAGTAACACGTAAATTAACACCACCATAATACATTCAAGAAACAAATCAATTCAGTGGAATTCAGTTTTGTTTCAGTCAATTTACACCAAAAATCTAACATTCAGGTGTAAATGCACTTATGCCACTTTAAAACACACATTTTTGTAGTTCCAGCCTAGTCATTGTTGCTTGCAAACTATATTGGTGGCTTGCAGGTTTAGAGCCCAAAACAGCACTGCTAAAGTAAACATGCTTTTAAGATTAAGGAGAGCGTCCGAGTGCAAAAGTAGCATCATTTTTACTTTCCATTCAAAGTAATGATGTAAATAATGAGATACCTTTTATAATGAATCATGCAATGATGCACATTTGAGGTTACCTGACAGAACACATTTACAGTGTTGATTGCGCCACAGTATAAGCTAATTTTCTGGTTGAGGTATTAAAAACGTTAAGCACACAGTACTGACTTGCAGGTATCCTGTGTTTAAAGAATTAAGATAAGAGCGAGAAGAGATCTGTGACTCAGTGAGTTGCTGACTTGGAGACACGGTCTGTATAATGAACAGCTTCTTCACATTTAGTCAAACCAGTAGGATTAACAAAGAATCTCAACATTTGTTTCTTGCAGGTAGATGAATGTTTTTAATCTTTTACCCAGAGATCCTTGACAGATGTCCGTCCGTGTAGCTCCACCGACGATGAATTGTGGTTTTGAGCACAGCTCCTGCAAAGGACACCAACGTTTGAAATGCAGAATCGGGCTAATAATGTAATCAGATATGAAAAAGAAAGCATATAGACACTAAAACATTGAGCTTACATTCATATGTGGGTCTATATACAAAGATAATCATAAAATATATTTACTTATTAAAATAACAGCTGTTAATCTGACCACCTGGTGAAAATGAATAAACAGAATAAACAGAAATCGGCTACAGTAACCTTAGCAACAGTAGGCTGGTCGAGTTATTCGGATCAATATCGGCCGGATCATTATATGTGACCCTGGACCACAAAACCAGTCATAAGAAGCATGGTTATATTTATAGCCAACAATACATTGTATGGGTCAAAATTATGCCAAAAATCATTAGGATATTAGGTAAAGATCATGTTCCATGAAGATATTTTGTACATTTCCTACCGTAAATATATCAAAACGTAATTTTTGATTGGTAATATGTATTGCTGAGGACTTCATTTGGACAACTTTAAAGGTGATTTTCTCAATATTTAGATATTTTTGCACCCTCAGATTCCAGATTTTCAAATAGTTGTATCTCAGCCAAATAGGCTACACTCTAAAAAATAAAGGTGCTTCACGATGCTATAGTAGAACCTGCAACATCTGAAGAACCTTTCTGTTTCAAAAAAAGATTATTTGTGGTGAAAGAAGGTTCTTCAGATTATAAAAAGGTAAGAAAGAGATGTTCATAAGAAGCATGGTTATATTTATAGCCAACAATACATTGTATGGGTCAAAATTATGCCAAAAATCATTAGGATATTAGGTAAAGATCATGTTCCATGAAGATATTTTGTACATTTCCTACCGTAAATATATCAAAACGTAATTTTTGATTGGTAATATGTATTGCTGAGGACTTCATTTGGACAACTTTAAAGGTGATTTTCTCAATATTTAGATATTTTTGCACCCTCAGATTCCAGATTTTCAAATAGTTGTATCTCAGCCAAATAGGCTACACTCTAAAAAATAAAGGTGCTTCATGATGCTATAGTAGAACCTGCAACATCTGAAGAACCTTTTCTTCAGATTATAAAAAGGTAAGAAAGAGATGTTTTATAAATAACCTTTGACTGAATGTTTTTTTGTGGAACCAAAAATGGTTCTTCTATGGCATCGCTGTGTGTAGAACCTTTTAAGCAATCTTTATTTTTAAGAGTGTATTGTCCTGTCCTAACAAACCGCACTTCAATGGAAAATTTATTTATTCAGCTTTTAGATGATGTATAAATCTCAATTAAAAAAAAAAAAGACCCTTAAGACTCGTTTTGAGGACCACGGTCACAAATAGACAAAATACAGATTTACATAACACAAATATAAGACAAAACCTTTAGGAATTTTCTTAAAAAGTCTAAATGAGCATTTGGACGCACCTCTATAATCCCACACTGGTCACGAGAAGACTGTTTAAAGTTGGACTGTTTTGCAACGCCGCTGAAACGCAACGCTCACGACGCGACCCTAAAAAGCGAGACGCAGCCAAGAAGACCTCAGTTTGACGAATGCAGCTATTGAAGTCATTAGAAATAGCAAACAGAACGCAAGAACGCGACTTGTGCAAAGAAAAATGTACGAGAACCCTCTCGTTTGTAAAGAAAAGGATAACGGTACAACGTAACACAACTTAGGCTAAATAAAAAAATAGAAAGTGCATGATTCCCCGTTTAATCTTTACCAGTGAGCGAATGATTCCCTTAATATTTAACTTATGATACTGAAAGCATACCCCAGGTCTTTTCCAGGCTAGTCCTCTGGTTTTGTACGAGCTGGGTCCGAGTTCTTTAAAGCCCAGGGATTCGGGTGCGGCTGGGAAATTCGGGTCTGAGAACAGGGTCCCTCTGCCGAGACACTGGCTCCTGAGCGCCTCAAAGTCCTGGTTGAGGTATTTGGTGGCATTGGCGTTAGATCCAAACCCTGCAGCCTGCGCTCTCTTCTTGGCCAGGGTAGAGGCGACTCCCGACATTTTTTTTTTTCCACTTCAGAAGAGCCCAAGAAATCTGAGAAATGTAAAAATGTCTTGATCCTTCAACTTAGTTTACTGTGACTCTCCGCCCCAAACTTTCCAGGCGTGGTCAGGCTGTCATGAGCGCGTTATTGCGCGTTTTTACGCACACAGTGAAGAACAGGAAGAAGTGCGTTAACATTTATACACTGACAGCTACTGTGTCGCTGTGAAAACAATTACATAACATATCTGACTGACTTACTGATGCGGCATTTAGTATTATACTACAAAATTAATATTAATAGGCCTAACTACTTTTGTTTTAAAGTAAGTTATTGTTTACGTAAGTCTATTCTATTTGATCACAATGACTAAGTTGGCATTGGCATGTGGAGAAACAGCCATGCCAATTTAGTTTTAAATTAATAATAGATTGTGGAGTGTAAACTTCTTTTGCGCACACAAATAACATTCATTCAGGCGTTCGTTCATTCTGACATTTCCTTCCTAACGGTACCGATGAAGCTCTAAACTCGATTAGCTGCACAACATGGCCATCTGCCGGATATTAAAGTCGGTTCAGCCATTTCTAATCGGTAGGATGTAGCACTGTTCGTATGTTTTGATTGATATTGAGCCAATTATATGTAATTTAACCCTTAATAATGATACTTGAGAATGTTTTGTATATATGGCACTACTGGACAGAATATATGCAAACAAAAAATATATATTTATTTTCCGTGGATCCCAATAAGGAAATGAAATTATTACTATGCTTTATTTATCTCTGTGGGAGAGGAAGTTAGTAGGAAAAGAGGGGTGATTTGAGCCTGTGGGGAAGTTGACCCACCCCTCGTTTCTAAGCAACCTTAAACAAAATAATTCCCCCATGATATTAGCTCTAACCCTCTGGATTATACAAGTATGTTAAAAGTATGTTAAAAAGATAGAAGTGTGGTAATTTGAGGCAAAAGTCCTGAGGTAAGTTGAGCCAGTGGCTCACCCCTTCTTATGATTATAGAGTATTATTTTACTGTATTCTACATTATATTTCATTAAGTTTAGACCAAACATTTTTGATGTTGTTCTTGGTTTTGAACTTGATTTTGTTCTGCAAATTTTAAATAGGCCATTGAAGTTTTTATGAAATTGTATTTCCCTGCAGCATTTATAAGTCTGATGTTGAGTACTATAGTTCTGTAAGATCAGTTGCTTTATTTATTCATTCATGTTGAACATTATTTTTTGACATTTTAAAATCATTCTAAAAATGCCTTCAAAGTTGTGAACTGTATCTTTAAATAAAACTTCCATCCATCCATTCTATTATCCAAACCTCTTTGTCCTTATTAGGGTCGCTGGGAGCTGGATCCCAACCCAGCGTCTTGAGCCACAGATGGGGAAACTTCCTGGATGAATGGTCAGTCCATCACAAGGCTCACACATTGAATTGAACAAGTCATTTTTATTGAAATTCTCTTCCTTTGATATAGCATGAGGTGAACATGTTCAGTCTTATTTCAGAATAATCAGTGGCACAGTTTAACTCCATGTGGCTTAACCTACCCTCTCCCTTGGCTCAATTTACCTCTCAATGGGGGCAAGTTGAGCCAAGAGAGCACTTTTTTCTGGAAAGGTATATTTTAAAAGCAGTTTATTTTAGATCCATTGTGATTATTCCCAAGGATGCACCACATCCTGAAATGTATGTACATGTATAAATTGGACCCATTACTGTCATGTCCTCACTTTAAACACGGCACAAGTAAAACATGGCTCAACTCACTCCCTAGTTAACACTGTACAAACAGAAATGTTATAATATACCAAACAATACAGAAAACTCCGAATCGCAATCACAAAATGTTCGGTGACTTAAGCAAGTGATTTGATATTTTGACATTTGTTAGGGGGGAAAAGGGGTGATTTGTGGTATCTATCTAAGATTTTGAGATTGCATAAAACCATTAATAAGCTAGAACTTTTAATCCCACAAATGTTAACGCGATGGTATATATTTGCCATTCTAAACACTTTGTGACAATAGTTTGAGGAGGGCAGTTTTCTGCTCCATCATGATGATGTTATGAATTCCTTCATGTTCATAACTTATCATATCTTATTAACATATCTGCCATTAATGGCCTACATATATTTACATATTTTTAAATGTAAATATATAATATGCATGTGCAACGTAAATAACATTTACATTCCCTTCTTTCCTTCCTTCACTTATACATTTCCTAAAGTAAAGTAAATGAACTAAAGTGTTTACATTTTATTCAAAATGTATCTACTACAATGTGCTTTAGTTCATTTTGCATCACTTGGTTACATGATGTGTAAAACGAAGTGAAAGCAACACCTGCCTCTATGTGTTGACAGGTGGGTCTGACTCCACCCCTCACTGCTTTACCATACAGCAGCTCTCACTTTACAACCAGCATCAGTCTCAGAGAAACACGCACACTACACAAGCTTCAGAGAAACCTGAGTAAAGGGCAGCATGTCTAATATCGCTAAAGTTCTTTCTAGGAGGCAGGACAGAGGAGAAGGAGTGGGAACAAACGAGAAGGCAATTCCCTTCAACAAGCAGGACTACCAGACCCTGAAGCAGGAGTGTCTGGTGAAAAAAACCCTGTTCTGTGACCCGACCTTCCCTGCCGAATCCGACTCTCTGGGATACAATGAACTCGGACGGTACTCCTTCAAGACCAGAGGAGTGCAGTGGAAGAGACCTAAGGTACTGCAGTGAGTGTTTGCTTTCTTCCACACAGGTGGAGTTTGGGTAAATATTAAGGTGTGTTTTATAGAATTTATTTCTACATGAGACGAACCTTAAAATTTATTTTACCCAATTACCCAATATATGTTTTCCTGCGTGTGCGCCGATATGCTCACTATGGTAACCGACGGCGGCTCAGGTTTCTCTTTAGGTGTGAGGATGATCTTATGTGTGTGTTGATACTTACAACATGCAGACTCTCTACTCATCAGTTTGCACTGTTATATAAATACGATGCTTTTTATCTGTATTTTTTTCTTTTATGAACACCCAGGCCACAGCACACTAGTTCAACTGAACCATTTACATGTGCTGTTTGCTAAGAGCAAATACAAGCTATTGTTATTTAGGTGTACCTTTAACGTAACACTATCACCTATAATTGTTCTCACATTGTCCCTTTTTAAAGGAGCTCTGCTCAAACCCGGAGTTCATTGTGGACGGCGCCAAACGGACAGACATCTGTCAAGGAGCTTTAGGTGAGGAACAAGCCTTTTGATCAGAATGATGTTCGGGTATGACCTGTAGCATAATTCATAAATTATTTACGAATTCCAGTAACAAATACAGGTGATGTGCAGCATTAAAAAAAACGTGATGCATATGGAATTTCAGGATATTTTTTTATGCATTACTATATTAAATCTGCTGGTGTGTCTGCTTTATGTTGACGTGAGTAAACTTTCCTCCACCCCAAACCCACACAGACTCGTATTGTGCCGTGCTAATGACCATGACACAACAAAGATAATCGCTATATCAGGAATTATGCCACATTTGTGGCTTATGTGATACTCAATTTCTCAAAAACACATTAAATAACTTCTTATGATTATAGAGTATTATTTTACTGTATTCTACATTATATTTCATTAAGTTTAAACCAAACATTTTTGATGTTGTTCTTGGTTTTGAACTTGATTTTGTTCTGCAAATTTTAAATAGGCCATTGAAGTTTTTATGAAATTGTATTTTCCTGCAGCATTTATAAGTCGGATGTTGAGTACTATAGTTCTGTAAGATCAGTTGCTTTATTTATTCATTCATGTTGAACATTATTTTTTGACATTTTAAAATCATTCTAAAAATGCCTTCAAAGTTGTGAACTGTATCTTTAAATAAAACTTCCATCCATCCATTCTATTATCCAAACCTCTTTGTCCTTATTAGGGTCGCTGGGAGCTGGATCCCAACCCAGCGTCTTGAGCCACAGATGGGGAAACTTCCTGGATGAATGGTCAGTCCATCACAAGGCTCACACATTGAATTGAACAAGTCATTTTTATTGAAATTCTCTTCCTTTGATATAGCATGAGGTGAACATGTTCAGTCTTATTTCAGAATAATCAGTGGCACAGTTTAACTCCATGTGGCTTAACCTACCCTCTCCCTTGGCTCAATTTACCTCTCAATGGGGGCAAGTTGAGCCAAGAGAGCACTTTTTTCTGGAAAGGTATATTTTAAAAGCAGTTTATTTTAGATCCATTGTGATTATTCCCAAGGATGCACCACATCCTGAAATGTATGTACATGTATAAATTGGACCCATTACTGTCATGTCCTCACTTTAAACACGGCACAAGTAAAAACATGGCTCAACTCACTCCCTAGTTAACACTGTACAAACAGAAATGTTATAATATACCAAACAATACAGAAAACTCCGAATCGCAATCACAAAATGTTCGGTGACTTAATTTAAGCAAGTGATTTGATATTTTGACATTTGTTAGGGGGGAAAAGGGGTGATTTGTGGTATCTATCTAAGATTTTGAGATTGCATAAAACCATTAATAAGCTAGAACTTTTAATCCCACAAATGTTAACGCGATGGTATATATGTGCAGCATTAAAAAAAACGTGATGCATATGGAATTTCAGGATATTTTTTTATGCATTACTATATTAAATCTGCTGGTGTGTCTGCTTTATGTTGACGTGAGTAAACTTTCCTCCACCCCAAACCCACACAGACTCGTATTGTGCCGTGGTAATGACCATGACACAACAAATATAATCGCTATATCAGGAATTATGCCACATTTGTGGCTTATGTGATACTCAATTTCTCAAAAACACATTAAATAACTTTTAGCATTTAACGATCAACATTTAATTTGTTGATCAGAATGATGTTCGGGTATGACCTGTAGCATAATTCATAAATTATTTACGAATTCCAGTAACAAATACAGGTGATGTGCAGCATTAAAAAAAACGTGATGCATATGGAATTTCAGGATATTTTTTTATGCATTACTATATTAAATCTGCTGGTGTGTCTGCTTTATGTTGACGTGAGTAAACTTTCCTCCACCCCAAACCCACACAGACTCGTATTGTGCCGTGCTAATGACCATGACACAACAAAGATAATCGCTATATCAGGAATTATGCCACATTTGTGGCTTATGTGATACTCAATTTCTCAAAAACACATTAAATAACTTTTAGCATTTAACGATCAACATTTAATTTTAAAAAACACTGCCCAGTTAAAATGATACATGAAGTTCCAAAAGAAATGGATCGAACTCAATTGAAACTGAAGTGATATGACTCAGTGCCTCCTTCAGTTTTTTTCATCCGTTTTGGTAAAAAGCATAAAGTAGAAGGCATACAAAGTAAGAGGTATCATTTACTCTTAAAAATAGAGGTTCTTTATTCACATTCATGGCTCCATGCGAAACTTCTAACATCCGTGGAATCTTGTCATTCCACAAAAAGGTAAAAAGGTTCCTCTTTTGAATATTGAAATGTTCTTTTTCACAACAAGAAGAAATGGCTCTTTTAGAACTGTTCACTGGAAGGTTCTGTGAAAACACCCTTTTGGAAGTTTTACTTAAGAATGTTCATGACCATAGCACAAATGGTGTGGCACGAAATACATGCTCAGGTTTCAGTGGCAAGTGGATAAGAACAAAAGTATGAACAACAATAATAGTGATGCTAGCTTTAGCAACCACTAATTAAAGTTACCTCACAACGCAAGTGCATTTCATGTGTTGTGGAAAAACATATTGTGAGATATGGGAGTGGTTAAAAACCTATACTTAAAGTTAAGATTAAAGGTTGTAGGTTCAAACCCCACAATGGTCCAACCACCATCACCATTGAGCAAGATGTATACGCGCAGGATGCTCTTTGAGCAAAACATGGAAGCCCAGGTTGATCCTTGAGGGCTATATCTGTAAAAAGTAAACTGGAAGTCAGTTTGCATTAAACAATGAGCTCAATGCAGAAGTATCTAATAACATTTGATTCATTGGCAGGTGACTGTTGGTTGCTGGCGGCTATTGCATCTTTGACTCTGGATAATGCAATTCTGGAACGTGTAGTTCCACCTGGACAGAGTTTTATAGAGGACTATGCCGGCATCTTTCACTTTCAGGTCAGAACATACATGGGATCAAAATGTCTGAGACCACACTAAAGATCTGGGATTGAAAACCTACAAGAAAAGTAAAAAAAAAAAAAAAAAAATCACAGAACAGAAAAAAATACAAAATTATTTTCACTAGTGGTCTCAGACTTTTGGACCTCATGTGAGTATTAATTACAACACATAACCCTATTAGAAGTCCAATGATAGATTAAGGGGACACTCTCAGACTGATCGTTGTTATTCACATCTCTTTAGCTCTGGCAGTTTGGTGAATGGGTGGATGTTGTCATTGATGACCGGCTGCCCACCAGAGATGGGAAGCTGCTGTTTGTTCATTCAGCCGAGGGCTCGGAGTTCTGGAGCGCCCTGTTGGAAAAGGCCTATGCAAAGTAAGTGTACAGTATGTGTTTATTCATCATAAATTACCTGCTACTATCCCAAACTGTAGTCATCAGTAGTAGATAACATCAAGATACTGAGTCATCTGAAACCGTTGGTAAACACTGTGCCAAACCACTACCTACAAAACACACAATGTTCATACAACATGTCACATATCCATGACTTGACCAACCGGTGGCGCTGATTATTCCCATATTATGAAGGCTTAACGGCTCATATGAAGCTCTGACGGGAGGTTCAACCACTGAGGGTTTTGAGGATTTCACTGGAGGTATCGCTGAAAACTACGAGTTGAGCAAAGCTCCTCCATACCTATTTAAGCTCATGCAGAAAGCACTGATGCTGGGATCATTACTGGGCTGCTCCATTGATGTGAGTCACATTCCATTTCTGTTGTTTCACATCATTTAAACTTATAACTGTGGTCTGTGGTCTAATTAATAAACACAGTTCAAACACCTAAGCTTTTACATTATTTGTGAAGATTTAGGATATCAATTTCCTTGTGAAACCCAAAAAATTTGCTTGTGCTTGTGGGTGTTTTGCAGGCGACTTGCAAACAACACTTGCCACATATGCAAATGGATTGGACTCACCCATATTTAAAGAAGGATTTTGTGTCTGGAAATATCAAATGTTAGCTCAATTGTGGCTCACACTAAATATCAGGAGTTTCATGTGTGATAATGATTATCATTGCTGTAATACATAATAAATAGGGATGCACTGATATAAACATGTTGGCTAATAGTAATTTTTATTTTGAAGCTGATAACCACTATATTGTCCAATATACAGTATATACACACACACTACTAGTGTGTCTTATTTCACGGTATGAGAAATTTTATTTCACTATAACAATATAACAATATATATATACATATATTGATATAGATATTTTTACTTTTTTAATTAAAAATAAGAACAAAGAAACTAATTACAAACACAACAGAACAAAAATAAAAGTTAAATAAACGTGTTTTTCAGCTACAGTAGGTTTATTTAACATCTAGTAAGTAATACTACATAAATGTAATAATGAAGTGAATAAAACACTGTTTAGTCTTCACTGCATGAATCAAATATGAATTGAATCCTATTAAAGAGCATCTTTTGTTGTTTTCATATTAACATAAATGACAGACAGCTGCAGATAAAATAGGCCATTTCCCTTTAAGACAGACTGCACGGATCCAATATAGTGAAACACATCTAGTTTTCACCCAATTGTTTACATTTACGACTGTGTTTAAATTACGTGAATACTCCACATGACAAGCATTTTGAAATAATTGTGCATTTGACCATTTAAGCACAATAAGACGAGAAAGAAAAATCCTTTAAAATCCCTGCTGTGTAAAAAAAGTGCCATTCCTCGATCCAGCCAGGTTAATACAGCATGGTGCAGACTCCACCCCTCTAAATCTGGTACCGGACCTAGTTGAAACACCCAGACATGCACCTGGCAAGTTGCGAAGATAGCGCCGACACCATCAGCATGCACACAGCCGAGTAGCATGGACTAATGCGCATACAGGGTGTTCATAATAAAGCAACAAGTGAATTGGTGCATATATCTGACCAGCTTATATAAGCAGGACACATAAACGTTTTGAAAATGAGGACACAGAAATTAATTGGTGCATGCCACATAAACCCGGCCCCATAGCAGGACATATATATTACACATCCATTGTAACATTGCAAAGCGAGGTAAACACACAGGAGTAACAGTAGAGTAGCAAGATAACAGCTGAAGCCCTTGAAGATTACTGAACAAAGTGTAAAAACAGGAAAATGTGCTATAAGCGCCTCAGTCATCCAATAACTACTCAGCCGCTGTCTTCTTCTTGCACAGACACAACATGCAGTAAGAAAGAGGGAATCTCCACATTATAAAACCTAGCATGTGTTAGTTGCAAAGACTATCCTGCCGCCAAACAAATGTCCTGTATAGACATACCTTTAAACCAGGCCCATGACGATGCCAAACTCCTCGTGGAGTGGGCTCAAACACCTATTGTGCAGTCGACTTCTCTGGAGGCACAAGACAAAACAAAGTTCTGTCATGACAAATCTCGGAGGGACTGGCATGGTAATGTACATGACAATGTTAATGTATTTGGTCTTGGCGGAATAGCATAGTACTGAGTCTTGCTACTGCCAATACATCCACAACATGCTGCTGTGAGCATGTAAAAAATACTGCTGCTGCACATATAACTTATATGAATAACCCCCATAGCATACATGATCACCCCATAGCAGATCTATACAGGTGGAGCTGGGGGAGGTGGAGGGTTTCTGAAGTGTGCTGTAACTGCTACCACAAGCATTAGCCAAGTATTTGAATGTTGAGCAGCAACCTCATTGGCTACCAATACAGGAGAGAACCAGTCAGCTGTGCCATGTGATAATGATGACATTATGTCATATTGAGTTAGATCCATCGGACTGCGCCATCTAGAGTTTCATGCCAGAACTTTCGTATTTGACAGAGAGGGCTTGTAAATCCCCCACACACTTTCCAAATTCCAAAGCTGCAGTGCCGTCTTGAATGAGAGCACTCTCAGCTCTCTCATCTAAGTCGGCTGCATATATATAAGCATATAGTACATGAACAGGGCAATAGCACATGCTTTTTATATCTTACGTCAGATAGGAATGTGGCCCAAAACTTAAACTTCTTATATCAAGCTGCTGCAGCTTCTGCCTCTGCGGCTCGGCGGCAGAGGGGAAAAGAAGTGAGCGGACAGTTTATCTGTCATAATGTAAAAGACTCACCAGAATGCTGCAGGGAACAGCAATCCAGGCACCGTCCACTGGAGAGTGTGCCTTCAACGGCAGGCATTAGGAGTCTTAATAGCTATGTGAACGAAAAAGATTCTGAGGTTTTATGGCACTCGGCACTGACTTTATAGTGGCTGAGCCCGCCAACCAGGCAAGCACTAAATGACATTGGCTATTGCAGCGCAATAGCTTGATTCAGTAAGGCTTCATGAAGGTTTGAAGAAAGGGATTTCCCCTAGCGTTTTACACAATGTCGAGAGACTGACTTGAAATGGAACTCTATTTAACATAAAGCTGGTCCCACTCTGTATTTCCTCATTCATGCTTGTTTCATTTTCACTCCTAGGTCAGGTGTATATAATTTGTTAGTGTGCCATGCAATATATTAATTTACCGCAAAAATACAGTAAAAACTGTAATATTGTGAAACATTGCGACTAGAAACAACACAACCAGCAGAACCACCAACTTTACAATCCCTATCACATCGTCTTAGTTCCAGAGGTGTTTGTTTCCCATTCATTTTCTACAATTTCTTCAAAGATAAAAAAATAAATAAAGACAATAAAGAGTCCTGAACTAAACCAACCTGCTCCAAGATGAATCACAACATTTAAAACTTTAATTTGAAGCAATTCATGGGTAGTGTAGTTCTTCACCTGGAGTTTGGAAAGAATATGGATTAATTGCCTCTAAACTCATGGTAGGTCTGTCTCCAGATGTTAAAATAATGTGATTTTACTTCCAGACCGCAACTGTTGCCCTTTATTTAACACACGTTTCCAGTGACATAACCATCAACATTATCACTAAATATTTTTGTGGTGAATTGTATGAATTTGAACACTGAGTTATACAATATTCTTTGGTTTTTCAGATTCCAGATGAGGTGTGTATGAGCTCAACATGTTTTGTACATAAGAGTAACTGAACACCACAATCATAACTAATTGTTCTTAAATTTTTATGATACTATGGAGACTCTAAAGAGACATGATGGTGGTTAAAAAAGGAAGAAAAATATATATATTTCAATGCTTTTTGCGTTCCCCTAAGAAACTTTGCATTCATTGGCAAAACGTTTGTGATGGACATAATATGAGGTGGAAGCAAAAATTAAAAGTTTTTTAAAGGAACACAATCCTTTTGTTAGGGAACTTAAAGCTTTTTTGCGTGAACACAATTGTTTTGCAAGAGAATGTGAAAATTTGGCGTGAACATTAAAGCATTAAAATGACATTTTTCCTCCCATTTTTTCTAAATACAACTTAACCACTGATTTCTAGTTGTGTCCTCTTTTGGAAGGCCAAACAAAGTAGTTTCACTTTCACAACGAAACACATGGCAGCCTAGAGTGAGGAACGGCCAGTGGGCTAGAGTGAGCAGAGGCCGGCGGATTCGACGAAAGAGCGTCCGGCTGGCTTGCGGCAACCACATGTGACGACCCCGGGCTGGACTCCACTTCATCCACGGTGAAAGCCGATCCGGCGATCCACAGCACGAAGTTGATGTATTTCCTCAGTGACCAGCACGGATCAGCTCTAGGCATGACGAAGCGGATATCGTCCTCTTTTGGAAGGCTAAACAAAGTAGTTTCGCTTTCACAACGAAACACAGCGCCTTCACGACATGGCGGTGGTGGCAACAATACTACAGCGAGAATCAAAGTTACGCCTTCTTTCATTGCGTGAACATTTGGGAGGCGTTATGCAAATCTTCCCACATAGTGAGGTAGATATGTGGGGGCGTGTTAGAACGAGCCGTTTTAGGAAGGTGTGGCTGACTCTTAACTTTTATAAAGAATATCTCTTTAGATTTGAGACTTTAGTCTTTGCAACTTTTACAGATCTTCTTTATGCACGAAGAGCTTGTAACACTCCAAAGAGAAAGGAAAAATTGAAATCGCATCATATGACCCCTTTAAATATTTACTTGAAGCCCCCCTGAGAGTTTAAGTTAATATTTTTAATAAATTTCATCTACAAACACGGCAACCAAATTAACCATGATAACCCTCCTATAACCCTTGACATTGGTCCAGAAAGATGGCAGCAGCAAACTCGGCCTTGTGGAGTTTCATATACTGTGGAAAAAGATCCAGAAATATTTGGTATAATATATAATTTGGTTTAAATCAAAGATGAAAATCTGTAATATCAGCTGATAATCAACATGGTACAGATCTATTTTGCATCCCTACTACAGAGCAACAACTTTGTGGGCAATAAAGTTCTGTAAATTCTTCATTGTATTTAGTGATGTTAAATAGTTAATGTGGATTTTCTGTCATACCTCACCAGGAGGTTTTTAAGAAGCATGATACAGACAACTCAGGCACTATGAGTTCCCATGAGATGAGAGATGCCGTGAAAGAAGCAGGTAATGAGTCTATGGTTAGTCAGACCATTGAGGACAACATAGTCATTAATTTCTTCTAAAAGTGGTCATAATAAGGAGTGCATTAATGGTTGTATTTGCTTTTCCACAGGGTTCCAGCTGAACAATGAGGTACTTGAGGTGATAATCTCACGTTATGCTAATCAGCAGTATGCCATTGACTTTGATTGCTTTGTTGGCTGCCTGATTCGCCTGGAAATGCTCTTCAGTAAGTTTTGCTGAAGATTATCCAGTTTAAATTACTGGAAATAAATAGCTATGAATAGAGATTACAAAAATGTGTTAATGCTGGTTTACTGTAACATGCTCATCTGTGCTCTACACAGAAATATTTAAAACGTTCGATAAGAAGAACACTGGGAAAATCGAGCTGGATATCCTGCAGGTGACGCACAAGTGTGAATGTGGATTAAGATTTTTGTATTTTCTCAGTTTAGCGTTTTCATTTACAAATGTGTTTTTTGTGTGTGTTTTGCAGTGGCTGTGCTTGGCCCTGAGTTGAAAATCCATTTGGCCTACATTGCACCAGAATTGCACTAGATTTGTATCGTGAAAAGCGCTACACAAATAAACTTGGAAAAACTTGAACTTGAATACCAATAAGTACAATCAGAGTAAAATCAGAGGGGTATCTAAATTTGGTATTGCTTACAGAATGCAATTTGTTTATGGTGCTCATCTGCTGAAAATAAAACCATTCACAGATACCTCGTGACTGTTTTTTTTATGTGAGAGACTTATGATTCATTAGCTGCTCAATAACTAAAAGAATAATAAAGCACTACAAAGTGTTAAAAAAATAATCATATTACCAAGCAGCATAGTAACGTTACCAAGTAGCCTACGAGTGTGCAAACATCCAGCAGCGTAACTGGAATAACTGGAAACGGCTACCGGAAGCCTTGGCTTGCACATTCAACTTCAAAATGGCCACGAATGCTCTTAAGTTAAAAACTAAGGTCGATATAATATATAGTAGCTGTATTTTATAGGGCTGAATATAAGCAATAGACAATACTCACCGAATTTACACTGTCTTCCAGCAAGTATGGAGATTAGTAGGCTACACAAGGAAGGACAGGATTTGACACAACCTGTTTTTAACGTTTGCGTCACTTTAAGTCTCGAGTCCCAGATAAATACGTCTGAGGATTGAGTTTACCATAACGACCTGAGAATCCTTTTCAACTGTTAACCGCAATCATGATCGCGTCTGTAAACTGTTTAGAATCAGAACAAGCGACGCGCGATTCGCTAATGATTCACTCGTCTGAGTCGGTTCTTTTCAATTAACAGTCGTTAAACGGATTAGCAAATCTATCTGAATCGATTCGCGACTGAGTCATCCGAACAGTCCACTCACACTCTGAATCGTTTGGAGCAGTATCTCAGTAAAATGGTAACAGGATCATTTATAAAACAGTACATTTGGTAATCTCTCAGTAGCATTGTATATGTATGTATGTATATATATATATATGTGCATAATATTATGCAGTAGCATTTTGAAAGTTAATTTTTGAAGATTTTAGTGCTGTCATATGAATTAGTCTTTAGAGTGTACATCTTGCTAAATGTGGGAGATGCATTTTTTTTCCCATTTCCACAAGAAAAAGAGGTAGGTTTATTAGTCTCACTATTAACAACATTAACTGCCAGAAAAAAAATACAACATTTCAGTGCTTTTAAGACACTACATATTTGTTTAGCACTTTTTGCTTATTTAAAAAGGGATTTTATTTGCAAAGAGCCCACTTCTTAGTTAGCTTATATGGTATTTTAAAATAATAGTTGCAAAATGTGTGTGTGTGTGTGTGTGTGTGTGTGTGTATAAGACAAATCAAATACACAAATGATCATACACCTTAATATATCCTTACAAAATAATCTTGATTAACTACAACAATTGCAGATTTGTTTCTTTTTCCAGTCAACATAGTTCCTATTCGAAAACATGCTTAAATGTATCCTGGATCCTACTTCTTCAATTTTGTCATTGATACAACATTTGTTTTGCGTTTTACATGTTTTTTCCTCCTTTGTGTAAAAGGTTGTCGACGTCGCATGTTTATTTTGCGTTCATCAAAGAAAAAGTGTAAGTTAAGTTAAACAGAAAATAAACAAATATATGAGTTAAAAGAATATATAGCACATTATGCTAAAGATATACTGACTTATACTGGCTAGTAACGCCCCTGACCACGCCCACTCCATTTAACGCGTTGTCATCTGCGGTGTGCTTGCACTGTTTGTTGTGACGGAGGCGCAGAGATGTCAGGAATCGCGGCGAAGCTCCAGCAGAACCGGGCCCGAGCAGCGGGCGTCGGTACCAACGCTAATGCGCTCAAATTCCTCAGCCAGGACTATGAAGCGCTCAAGCGCGAGTGTCTGGAGAGCGGACGCCTGTTTCAGGATGACACGTTTGAAGCCAGTGTATCTGCGCTCGGGTTCAAGGAACTGGGACCAAACTCCTCTAAAGTGCGCGGGGTTGAGTGGCTGAGACCAAAGGTTGGTGTAACATAATCATTTAATAAATTATATTTAAAGGTGTTGAATATTTTTAAAAAACGATATAGCTTTTATTTATATATATATATATGAAACATTACATAAATGTGTAAAATAATACATGCATGAATAATGTATATTTAATTTATTATACTTCAGTTATATGCTCAAAAATGTTTTATTTAAAAAAGGTAAAAAAAAAAAAAGCTTAATTACTCTCAATTTGCTGAATTTGCACAACATTTTAAAAAAAAAATCTGATATTACACTGGTTAGACTTATAGTACCCAATGTTTTGATTTCATATTTCTTTGGCATTTATAAGACTGACATTTACCTGATTTGCATGGTTGAAGTGTTCACACCCGTCATTAAAATGGCAAAACACATTCTTCTCTAACCTGGTTCAAATCTCGACTTTGACTTCTTTTCTTATTTGTTTTGCTATAGGCCATCACGCCTTGAGCATATCTTGTTGTTTTGTGCTTGGTTATAATAACTGACTATTAGTCTGAAGCTTTCTGTATCTGGGTGTGTTTGCCATCATTAGTTTTTTTTGTTTTTTTGAGGCACTGTGATCAGGAAGCTGCACTTGTGCATATAGTTTTAGGTCAATCATATTACTACAAATCATTGTACTACAGATAAACATATACACATCAGTGTTTTAATGCATGTGTTTTCTAACACCATCCCGGCAGCCAGGAAAGAACAAAAAAGTATTCTCTATAATGACCATGCAAAGCCATTGCATGTTAATCTGAACTTGACAAACCGCTTCAGAGACAGACAGACCAGGAAGTTATGGGAACATACTGCCCTAAGAGCATTGGCACATTAAATGTGGCATGCTTATGCTTTGTGATCCACATAATGCATTACTGCTTACCAGAAGACCTTTTTAGAGTCAATTAAAGGGAATGAGATCCTCACTGCTGGTATGATGGATGGTTATTGATGTATTCAAGAATGGTGTCAGTTTGACTCACAGCCTCTTCTATTTTTATTTAATAATTTAATTAATACCATTGAATAAGCAAATATTTAGCTGTGTCACACATTTTTCAACCCTGTTACCACATGATATTCCCCCCATTATAGAAAGTGTAACATTCCTCAAAATTGTAACACACAAGAAGAAACATTCATTATCGATTTGTACACAAATTTCAATGTTGACTGTGCAACTATTTAACCCTGTTACTCAGGTTATTGTAATAAAAATGATAAAGCAAATATATATTTTTAAAATGTATAATAAAGTATAATTGATAGTAATGTTAAACATGTAGTATTTAATGATTTTTAAATATTTAACATGTATTTAATAAATATGAAATTATATTTAATTATGCAACAATTCAACCCTGTTACTCAGGTTATTGTAATAAAAATTATCAAGCAAATATATATCTTTAAAATGTATAATAAAGTAAAATATATAGTAACGTTATACATGTATTATTTAATGATGTTTTTAAATATTTAACATGTATTTAATAAATGTGAAATAATAATATAATAATATATGCATGATTATTAGATGAACATTTAAATGTTTTAATTTATTCAAATGTAATTATATGCTCTACAATATTTTAATGACTTAGTATTTAATAAAGCATTATGGTCAGAACTGAAAGACTAAATTAATCTCTGGTTACACTGGTTAAACCTCTAGTATTTATCATCCTGGCATTCATTTTGCAACTGTTACTGTATGATTTTCCTGTTATAGAAAAAGTAACTTAGAAGAAGAAATATCATTTGGACTTTTTCCATGGCGGGAAGACAAAATAACTAAAATTTCATTGTCAGTTTTTTACAGATTTCAGTGTTGACTGCTCAACCATTCAACCCTGTTACTCAGGTTATTGTAATTAAAATAATCAAGCAAATATATATATATATATATATTAATATACCCTGTATGGCGGAATTAAAATAACCACAAAATATGTAGCTCCTACTGAGTTATGTGTTATTTAAGCTAATTTTGCAACCCTGTTACTGCATGATTTCCCCCCGTTACAGACAATGGAGCTTAAAATTGTAACCCCCAAGAAGAAACATAATTTTGACCCTTCCCATGGCGGGAAGACAAAATAACTTCATTTTTGTTGTCAAGTTTTACACATATTTCAATGTTAACTGCTCAAACATTCAACCCTGTTACTCGGATAACTGTATTAAAAAATTATCATGCAAATATTTTTCTTTAATTAATGATAAATATAATTTATTAATAAAATAACAAACCAACAAAATAACCACAAAATCTTAAGTTCCTTCTGAGTTAAATGTTTTTAAGCTAAATTTGCAACCCTGTTACTTGGCGCTCTTTTTTTATCCTATAAAGAGCTATTTGTTTTGTCATTTACATTCAGCAATAAACTCATCTCTTGATTCATGTTTTTGGAATGCCTGTTTTTGTCACCCAGCAACTGACATCCAGCCCAACGTTCATTAGCGGAGGTGCGACCAGAACTGACATCTGCCAGGGTGCTTTGGGTGAGTCAATTTAGCTATAATATTCACCCATTGTGGAGCTAGTGTACAATGAAACTTTAGAAGTGATGATAACAAAAGATCATACCGAACTGTCCCATACAGTTTAACCAGCAGAAGTCAGCCATTGAAACGCTGAACCACAAAAGCAGTTTTTCTAGTTTTGGAAGTTTCTTTAGATGGCGGTTGGAGCACATGGGAAATCATTAGAATTGTACAGGGAAACACCCTGTGTGAGCAAACTCATTCATTCTTGATCCATATTTCTTAAATGATTTGACTGCCAATTTTTCATATCTGGGAATTTTATTAATTGCATATCTTCTTAAAGAAACAGTTCACCCAAAACATTGGTCCAAACCTATAAATTTTTCTTCAAAAGCAAAGGGTGCGTAATCAGAGGAATGGAAGGAATTCCTTGGGGAAAACGACACTTTTTTGTCTACATAGCAAACACACATACATACACACCCTGATAAACCTGTTTTACTCCATACAACACAAACACTGGTGTCCTTTCATCCTGTCTTGGATCATACGCCTCTGTTTCCTCATATGCAAACATGTCCCAAGAGTCAGGTGACTGTAGTTTTCCACTGTAGCTGAAAATGTTTGATACGAGTCCTCATCAGACAATGCCACTGACTTTACTGGCTATTAAGGAAATGTCT